AGACAAGGAGAGTAGTTGACCGGTGAGTGATTGAGTGATTGAATTGAGTTTGAGTTGAGTGATTGAGTGATTGAGTGATTGAGTTGAGTGATTGAGTTGAGTGATTGAGTTGAGTGATTGAGTTTGAGTTGAGTTGAATCGAGTTGAGTTGAGTGATTGAGTGATTGAGTTTGAGTTGAGTTGAGTGATTGAGTGATTGAGTTTGAGTTGAGTTGAGTGATTGAGTGATTGAAATTTGTGTTTGATCGGCTTTTTGGAAATTGAGCCGACATTGTTGGTTTTGCTTTGTTTGTTGATCATCCACAAACAATGCGAAACCTCAGTCATTCAGTCACTCAGTCACTCAGTCACTCTCATACACAGATACACAGAGAGAAGGAGAGAAGGAGAGAGAGAGAGAGAGACACGCGTACGCACTCAATCACAACAAGACTCACTCTGCACCCGATGACCCTTCCTCTAACCCTTTCCTCTCCCCCTTCCTCTCCCCTCTGTTTTGCCACACTTCACCTGCTTGCTGGAGGAGAGCGGCGACGCGGGTGGCCACGGCGGGAGGGAGATTCGAGCCAGGGACAAAGGCAACCGTCGTCACTGAAGAATCACCCGCTGCTGACGCTGATGCTGATGCTGATGCTGATGCTCCAATGGGACTCAGCAGTGCGCCAAGCACCATCAGCAATGCAACCAGCCACCGCATTGCAAATGACGTTGAGTAAGGGAGGGGGGAAAAAAAAAGTGTGACTGAACTTGCAATCGAATCGACAACAATGAACGACAAATTCTATTGCAGACAGTAGAAACCGACCAAAGTCTACTCTGTCCAGCGGAAATCAGCGACAAGCGCAAGATGGTCGCTCGGGAAAACGACAGACGGGAGGGCCCGATTGGTAGTCACCTCGTGGTGCGAGGGCATCGGCAAGACAGAGGTCACAGCCAGCTCGTGCGAATCCACGAAAATGTGATCCAGGCACGCGTTAAAGCCGCCGACATAGTTGGTGTACGCGGCATCACCACACACGCTCACGAGGTGCAGTCCATGATCGAGGTCGACACCCAGACGCCGAGCAGTGTTGGCGGAAGCGTTGACACTGCTGCTGCTGCTGGCATCCTCATTCTCCTCGCCGCTCGCCAGCTCGAGCAAAAAGTCCCAATCCTCGTGCGATGCCGGGATGGAGCCCATTGTGGCCAGCTTGCACGCAGCACGGTCGGACCAGCTGTTGAAATCGCCGCAAAACACGACTGCGATGCGGGCGTGCGGGTGCTGCTCGCGCAGAGCGGCTTTGGCGCTCTCGATTTCGGACAAAATCACCGACATTTGCATCAGGCGGAAGTTGTTGGCCTTTGGATGAAAGTACAGGTGCGTGTTGGCGGCAATGACAAAGCGTGCGGGTGAGCCGGTGGGATGCTCGAGCTGATGCAGGACGGAAATTTGCGCGACAGTGGACAGCTCCTCAAACTTGGCCTGCAGTCCAGAGTGGGTTTCAAGCAGGCGGGCCAGTTTTGCGCAGTGGGGAGCCGTCTTCCATCGCTCGTTGAGCGCGACGTCGTGCGAGCTCACCAAGCTGAATTGGCTGCGCCGGAAGAACATGGCCGAGCCCTCGGCGATCGAGCGCGTCTTGCATCGGAAGAGACCCAGAAATCCAAGGCTCTCCATAAAGGGCTCAAAGAAGGTTTGGAATTGCTTGCGTTCGACCTCCTGCAGACAGACAAGGTCGCCGTCAAAGCGCTGCAGCTCGCGCGCAATCATTTGTCGACGATAGTCCAGCTTGAGGGCGAACGGCGCACAATACGGGTACAAGACGGTTCGGGCATAGTCCGAGTCGGCATAGACATCTGCCAGAATGTTATACGTGACGACACGGAGCTGAGCACCCGCTGATCGCTCCAGTGGCGAGACGGGCGCCAAGCAGTTTGCTGGGATGGGTTGGCTCGGCAAAGCCACGGCTGGTGGGGGTGGCGGTGGTTGCGTATGTTGATGCAGCACCGAAACGCGGTTGTCGGCACCGCGGCTGTCGGTCGGGAGAAGATGGTGAGGGATGGGATGCGAGGATGGCGTGGTTGGTGCGACCACCTTTGTCAGCAGAACGGTGGCTGGCTGTCCAACTGCGCCTGAGGCTGCGTTCTTTGGGGTGCACACACACTGCAGCAAGTGATCTAGATCTTCCGGAACTGGTAGGTACACTTGCGAGGTCGCGATTGGTTTGGTCGTTGGGAGTTGAGCTTGTTGCTTGCTGGCGGATTTCTTGGCGTCTGCTGCTGGGGTCGGAGCCGCAACACGATGCCAGGACCAGGTGGCGTCCTGTCTTGCGCAATTTTCGAATGATGCAACGGGCACGAGCGGCAATCCGACGCGTGCCGGCTCGCACAGCGTAAGTTGCGTAACGAGCGGCGGATTGAGCACAACGTCAAACCGCGTCGAGCCAATGACCAGCGTCTGGCCCTGCTGCCATGCGTCTCCGTTCGTGGTTGTCGGTGCAATCCTGGCAGCGCCTGCACCGGCGTCGAGGAGGTCGATCGTGAGCAGAGTCGCAGCAGTCCCAGAGGTCGCTGGACTGGTGGCGCTGCCGCCCTTGCCCTTGGTCGCTGCGTCGCGCTTGGACATGGACGACTGGATGGTCCGCGTGAGGCGCTCGAAGGTGCGCTCGATGGTCTCGTCGGCCTGGCGCGTCATGTTCACTGCGACGCCGCCGTAGTCGAGCGCGAGTCCGACCTGGCTCGATCCCGCCGCGGCTGGGCGTCGCACGACACAGATCAGCGGTGTGGATGCGAATGTGGATGCGGACGCGGATGTGGATGCGGACATGGTCTTGATGCTGGTGCCGCAGAGCAGTCTGAGCAAGTGAGGAGGATGAAGTGCGCGCTGCAGCTTGCTTTTGCGTTCGTTCGACTGTTGGATGGAAGGAGTGATGCCTGCTGCTCTGTTAATAGAATAGAACAGATGTAAGAGTGTGGGACCTTGCTTTGCTGCCGATCTGAGACTGAGCTGGAACTGTTCTTCTCGGGATGGTGTGAATCGCCCTTCGCTACTACAGGACTCGTGCTTCGCTCTCTGATCGCGCTCACTGTACTGTTCAGCGTTCAATAGGCATGTTCATAGTGAAAAACCGTGCCAATCCAGTCCGGACCAGCGAGATTGACAAGGTGAAGCTTCAGTGTTGCGCCTCTCTCTCTCTCTTCCCTCTCTCTCCTCGTCACTTGCTGTTCACCCTCCAAAATGCTTCAATTTTAGATCTCCGTGAGTCATGTTGTCATTTTTGTCATTCTTGTCATTGTTTTGATTTCTGAGCCACCCAGCTCACTCGCTCTCTTCACTCCGTATTTTCTTCTTTGCTGTTCAGGATGAGCGACCCTTCCATTCGGTGTACGTTGGCTTTTCTTCTTCTCCAATTGATCGATCTTTGTTGATCTTCGTTCCGAGTTGAGTTGGAGGTTGGGATGAGTGTTTTGCTGATCGGTCTCCATAGCGAGTGAGAGAGAGAGCGTGTGTGCGTTGGTGCTTCGTGCATTGTGTTTGTGTTTACCCCTCTCCCATTCGCTCTCATTCCCTCTCTTCCGAGAATCGCATCGCATTGGAGTGATGACAAAGAGTGAGAATGAATGTTGAGACAGCTTGCAGAGCGAGTGAGAGAGAGTGAGAGAGAGTAAGCCAGAGCGACGTGGCTCTCTCTCTCTCTCTCTCTCTCTCTCTCTCTCTCTGAAGCCCCACTCCACTCCACCTCCACGCCATGCCATGCAATCACTTCTCGTCACCCTCAACTCTTGCTTCACCCCCCATTCATCGAATCCAAACGCATTGGCGTCGTGTCGATGGCACACGCTCATCTCACTCACTGTCTTCTCTTTCTACTTCCTCTCTCTCGCTCTACTCCCTCACTCTCACTCTCACTCTCACTCTCACTCTCCCGCTTTGTCCACACAGTCGGTGCGTTCACCATCCCGATCAAGTACCTCAGCCTGGCCATCCTGGTCATCCAGAACTCGACGCTCGTCCTCACAATGCGCTACTCGCGCACGAGCGAAGGCCCAATGTACCTCTCGTCCACGGCCGTCGTCATGACCGAGGCCATCAAGCTGCTCACCTGCCTCGTCATCATCTTCTTTGAGGAGAACCTCAGCGTCGCCGCCACGCTCGGCCTGCTCCACCGCGAGATTGTCGCCAAGCCAGACGAGACGGCCAAAATGGGCGTCCCGTCCTTCCTCTACACGCTCCAGAACAACCTGCTCTTTGTCGCAGTGTCGTATCTGGACGCAGCCACGTTCCAAGTCACCTACCAGCTCAAAATCATCACGACCGCGCTCTTCTCCGTCATCATGCTCGGCAAGCGTCTCACCCGCGCCAAGTGGATTGCCCTCGTCGTGCTCATGGTCGGCGTCGCGCTCGTCCAGCTCCCACCGCCCAAGGCCACGGAGGAATTGCCTGCCCGCAGCGAAAACAACGGTGGCGTCGTCCCTGCTGATGCTGCAGGGGCTGCTGGACGCAAGCTGAACGGCCTGGAACTGACGGCAGACCTGCCCGAACAACACCTGCGACGCCTGCTCGCTGCCATCCCCGCCAACGAGAAAGAGTCAGATGCAGAGCTGGCAGTCGCAGGCGATGATGCCGGTGCTGCGTCCGGCTCGTTCATTGGTCTGATGGCCGTCATTACCGCCTGCTGCTCGTCGGGCTTTGCCGGCGTCTACTTTGAAAAGATTCTAAAAGGCACCCAAGCGTCCATCTGGGTGCGCAACGTGCAGCTTGGCTTGTTTGGCGCCATTATTGGTATCATTGGCGCCTTCTACCAAGACGGCGCGGCGATCGCCGAAAACGGCTTCTTCCAAGGCTACACTACGGTCGTCTGGCTGGTCATTCTCATGCAGGCGTTTGGCGGCCTGCTCGTCGCCGTTGTTGTCAAGTACGCAGACAACATTCTCAAGGGCTTTGCGACCTCCGTCTCCATTGTCGTCTCGAGCATAATTTCCATCTTTTTGTTCGGCTTCCACCCACACATGGCATGGAACGTTGGTGCTGGGTTTGTGCTCCTTTCCACTTACCTGTACTCGCTCCCGGACGCCCCTGTCGACCAAATCCGACGCTCGAACGTGTAAAATTCACGTGGTGTTGGGGGGATTTTTATCTGTTCTTGAGCTGTTTTTGTTTTTTGGTTTTTTTGGTTTTTGGTTTTTGGTTTAGGGTTTTTGGTTTTGGTTTGTTTTGGGGGGAAGGGTTTATTTGTGTTGCTTTTGGCATGCTTGAGAGCGTTTGCCGAATTCACAGTGGTCCTAGTGTCGAATTTCAACAATGGTTTATTTTTTGTTTCTTGCTTATGTTCAACCGCAGGAAAGAATAACAATGTATTAACATGAATTAATAACATGGCAAAGACGCCAAGACACTAGCGCTGAGACGGCTATGTGGTGATAGCCAGAACACTTCGAATAGTGCTTTTTTTGGTGCGGAACAGACTTGTTCACGTCGAGGTTGCCACCTCGCCAGTGCGGCCACTTGCTGCTTGCAGCATGGGCTTTTTCATCACAAGGCAGATACGTCCGGGAACCTTGACGGGGGTGGACGAGATTGCAGATGAGACATTAATCGGAGCCGATGGCGAAGCGGGCTTCCATCCGAGAAAGAGCGAGCGGAGCGCCGCCGAGTGGAATGGAAGCGTGTCTGCCAGCTGGGACGAGCTGGCAGGAACAGGCTGGGACTCGACGACGACGTCGGGCATGGAGCACGAACGATTGCGGTGATGACCACCACCACGAACAGGCGCCACCGTCGAGGACGGTTGAACAATGAGCGTGCTCGACTCGATTGGCGCGGGCGCTGCTGCGTGGTGCTGCTGCAATCGGTGCTGAGGCGAGCGAATCAGATGCGCGTACCGCGAGTGCACTGCCACAAACACGTCCGTCAAGAGCGTCTCGAGAATGTCGGCGCGCGAGGTCGACCAGGCGGATTTCCACCACTGCGTGTACAGAGTGCCCATCTTGTCGATGGCAGATGCAGTTTCCGTGTCGAGTGCCACAAAGCGGGACATGGTTGCTGGCAAGCCGCGAGACGTGCAAGTGTTGCGCAGCTCGTGAATGAGACGGCACAATCGCTCGTCCCGCTCAAAGTCGCCGAGGGAAGCGTCGGCAGCTTCGGTGAGCGCGTTGCGCGCGTCAAAGACACTCCATGTCTTCAAGTGCATGGCGATTTCGGCGTAAATCTGAGCTTCGCGCAGCCGGCTGAGAATGCGATCGCACGGCAGGTTGGATGAAGGTGTGGTTTGGCCAGATGGAGCATTGGATGGGTTTGATTGGAGGGTGGCACCACCCGCAAATGCATCTGCGGCTACTGCTGCTGCAGAAGAAGAGGGACCGGCAGTGATGGGTGCCGATCGAGTGCGAGGGTAGCGGCGCAATGCAGCCGGCGATGAGGGCATGGAGGATGCCGGCGAGATTGCAGAAGGTGGCTCTGCCGATGGCGAGGAAAGCACTCTGGCGGTCGTCGTTGTGACAGCAGACGACAATGATATTGGCAATGGGGACACGGGGTGTGCGTGACAAGCCGGCTTGTGTGGCGGGCTGATCGATCGGAGGGTCGGCGATTGGAGGTGCGCACAAACGTGGATTGCGCGCTGGATTTGCGCCTGCTGGAAGGTCGTTTCGTGCAGCTGGCAGAGCAGTTTCAGCTGGTACTCCAGGTCCGACTTGGATGGCGAGATCGGCATCTGCGGTGCGGTGCTCAGCGCGGCAGACATTGTGGTTTGTAGTGGCGTCTGAGAAAACCAGCGTCTTTTGTTGTTGGTTGTTTTTGGTTGTTTGGCGGCGGGAAACTCCCTTTGTCCCGTTCTCGGTTTGTTTGTCTGAGGTTGCCTTGAGTGTCTGTTGCCATACAAGCACATTGCAAATCGAGAGTGGGACAGTGGATGAGAGGACATGTGCCAGTGGCGAAAAGCGGCAAAACGCGGAGATGAGGTTTTTTGGTGCGGTTTTTTTTTTCTTTTTTTTTCGGTTTCTTTTATCCGCCTCAGACAAAGTCAAACAAGGCTTTTCTTTGCGAGCAGAGTGCCATGAACATCAGTTGAGTGTGAGTGAGAGTGATGACGGGCATGACACTTTGGTCATAGTGATTTATCATAATAGTAAGACACGGCTTTTTTTTTTTTTTTTTTGCTTTTTTTTTTTCTTTGATTTTTGGTGGCGTGAATTGGAAACGGACGAATCGCAGCGCTGCAAACAACCACACGGACTGTCGATTGTTTGTCGGAACTGGTCGGCATTATTGGGCATTTGCTGCACCGGGGGTTCCGGCTGATGAGAAGAGGCGCTTTTTGTGATTTAAAGAGAGAGAGAGAGAGAGAGGGGGGATTAGGGTGGTTGGAAGGGGTGAAGTGAAGCGGTTACAAAGGGAAAAAAAAGCGGCGGAAAAGTGGAGCGATTTTTGGGGGGAAGAAATCGATCGCCGACACAGTTTGACTTTTGGTTTGACTGGGTTTTGGGATTTTTGCAGAGGACACAAAGTCTGATGGATTGAACGGATGTGAAGCGAGTGCTTTGTCAAAGCGATGAGAGCGATGATAGAGAGAGCGCGCGATGAGATGGTTTGGTAGGAGCGGAGGAACCAAACACATGCCAGAAGCAAAAAGTGCGCGGGGAGGAAATGCTCGAATTGCGAAATCATGCGTGTCACCCGATAACTTACACAAAGAACAAAAAACCACCAAAATGTGAAAGCGGAACAAAGAAGACTGAACGAAAGAGTGATGCTGATGAATGATGGTGAGAGATAGGGAGACAGGGGGCCAGGGGAAACTAATGGACGATGGATGGGGGGGAGAAAGAGAAAGAGAGGAAATCAAATCACGCGAATGGCGATCTCAGCTGATCTCGCTCTCTCATGCAAAATAATCTCAGAGTGCTGATCAGGAACAGAGGACACAGGTCACTCTCTCGCTTGAATCACCGCACTGTCACACGTGGAAACGGTCCACGAGGTACCACAGGGCCACACAGCAACAGCCAAGAATCAAAAATAAAAAAACTCGTCCCAGCTGTCCAGCGGGGCGACAAAAACGTGCTGCTGAGAGATTGTACAGGCAATAAAAACAGGGACGCAAGGGCAGCCCTCTCGACTCTCGGGGGGGGGGGAAAGAGCGCGTTGAAAGATCAGACATTGGACAAATTTGGATTCTGCAAACAATCGCCGAAAGCGCTTCCTGAGTCGCTCCTGAGCCGCTTCTAAGCCGCTCCCGAGCCGCCTGTTGGCTTTGGGAGCTTGCAAAAAAACGCTGCAACGCTGAACCAGCTTGGGGTCAAGCTGCCACGCTCGTCAAACTCTAGAACGATTTTCACCACCCGATCCATATTCCTCCCTCTCACATTTGGTTGGAAAACAGCACAGCTCTCGTATGCTATTCGCACAACATGATGTGTTGGTTTGAGCGCTTGAAAACAATCTTTGTTGCATTGGTTTTGGGTCGATCATCCGCTCGAGCAGCAATCAAAAGCTCTCCTCTGGCAAACTAGAGCCGGCAGCAGAAGCATCCGATATCAAACTACGACTACCAGCACCAACAACATGGGCCACTGCCGTGCTGCACGACTGGACTTGTGCTTGGATGTTCTGTTGTTTGTTTGTTTGTTGTTGAACCAGTTTCAATTTCGCGTGAGTTCAATCGATACTCCACACTTTGACTGGCTACAGTCACAACTCCACTTACCGTCACTCGTTCCAGAAGGGACTCCACGAGAGCAAGCTGCGAGTCAACAACGGAAGAACTGTGATGGCTTGCCGTGGTCTGCGGATGATTGCTGCCCGCGCTCGTGTCGCCAGCACGGTGTTGTTTGAGCACGTCAATGTCGAGCTTGAGGTCTTACGATCATCACGCGAGCAGGCATCACAAGAGTGAGTCCAGGCGACTACCATCGACAAACACCCAATCCAACTGTCCTTTCGTTTGCTCAAAAGTCAAACGCTTCCGATTTGCCGTATCGTAGTGCTTTAGTTTTACCTCGAATCTCATCTCGGTGTCTCTGAGCTTCCTGTCGCATTGCATCTTGCTCTTCCATCTCTGCCTCGAGCATGCCGATGCGCTCGACGGCCTGATTGAACTTGACTTCGACGTCGGCCAGCAACGCCGAGGTCGCTCTAACGCAATCCGCCCAATATTCCAATATTCCAACATGTTCAATAATTCCAATGTTTCAATACTTGAATGAGTGAGTGTACGAGCAACCCCAATGCAATGGTATTGTGGTCGCTTTTGCGCTCTGTTACCGCTCCGACCGCTGAATGTCGTCGTTGGCCTGCTCCAGCTCGCGGATCCGTTGCGCTTGCTCGCTCTGTACTTGCTTGAGCTGGTCGATCGTCCGTTGCGACGCGACCGACTCTTGCTGCGCCTTGGCCAGCCGATCCTGAAATCGTTGTTCATTGTTGGTGCCACTCAATGAGCCTCCCCTCCAAACGACCGCACCACCACCACTACCACCACTACTGCTCAATACAGTCCACGGGCTAACTCACTCTGAGCTGCTCGCTCTCGAGCTCGGCGCGGCGCAGCTTCACTTCGAGCTCAGAGCTCCGCTTTTGTGCAATTTCAATCTCACGCTCCAGCTCAGCTTCGAGCTCGCGGCTGTCCTGCTGGAACTCCTCCAGGTTGTGCTGGGCTTCAGCCAGCTGTGATCGCAGCTCATCCACCGTTTCTGACATTTCAAACTCCAACAGCAAACAACAAAAAACAGATAGGACTGAGCGAGCTGCGTTTTGGTAACGAATGAAAGACTTTGAACGTGTATTCTCAGACACCGACGCAAACTCGACAAACAAAAACTCAAAAACACGCAGATGTTCCCCTAGTCTGTCGGAGTCAACAAGCCGGCATCCGTAGAGGTGCTTCTTGCAAACTTGCGCGAAACGTACTTGTCAAACACAAAACGAACCACCTGGTGAATAAAGCCTGGTGAAGGTGGATTCCAATAGCATCAAGCACAAAAGTGAGCGTCATTACAAAGATGTTGCGCTTCCCCCCCCCCCTCTCTGTTAACAAGACTGCAGCAACCTCCAAAACTCCAAAAACTTACCAGACGTCGCGAACACACCGCCAATGATACCCGACAGTCGGATCAGCAAATGCCAGAACGAGTACGGCGAATACTGCACGGTAACAAGAATGGGAAAGGTGTCGTACTTGAAGAACAGCCCGGGTAACCGGTTGGAATTTGGGCTTTCGTGGCGCGTGACGGAAAACTGGCCAGACCGCAACTGCTCGGGGTCGTTTGCATGTCGAGTGTAGACTGTCGGCACGACTTGAATAAAGTACTGATAGGCCATTGTATCTGATACGTGATAACGGTGGACGAGGAAGGTGAGTTTTGAAATCCAAGCAGGCAAAAAATAAAACAAAAACAAAAAAAACGAACAACAAAACCCCGTTTCTTCCATAACTCACGCGAAGTAGTAATCCACTCGTCTCCGTCCAAGGGAAATTCCATGCCAGGCATCTCCTCGCCAAAAGACAGATGATTAATGCGGTGGGTAAAGTTCAAGGCTGTCCAAAAACATTGAAAAGTGTGTAAGCAATTGCATTTGTGTCGTGTCCAGTTTTCGTCCTTTTTAAGGCGACTGTCTCATCGTACCATGCTGAGGGATCATCTGACCCATGTGTGCATGTCCTCCTGGAACTTCCACAGCGGCGCCCGCAATGATGTGGAAATTTCCAGCAATCTGGCGTGCAGGGACGTTCAAGAGTGAGACCAAGCCACCTCATCAAACGCTGCAATCAGCGCAATCAATGCAATCAATGCAATCAATCCCCCCGCATCAACGGACAGCGGATTGAGCTGCCAGAACGACAGCAATGCTTCACCTTGTCAGCCGACACCGATCCGTGCAATCGGCAGGCGTCTGGCGTTCCTTCTTGCGAGCTGAGCTCCCGCGGCATCGCTTGGAAGTTTTTCTTTGCCTTTCTTGTGGTACCCGACAGCGAGAGATGCTCGCGCGTGAGCGGCTTGCGATTCTCAGCGAGCCACTCGCGCTGAGCTGCACTGAGTGCAAACACGACAGGCTCCTTGCGCATCTCGTCATGGCCGTGATCGTCCCGCCCGTCGTCGCCCGTGTCCCTGCTCTGCCTCATCACGTTGAACAGCCGGTTGCGCGGCTCCTGCGGCGACGGCGGCGGCGCTGGCTTGACTGGCGCTGCATCGTCATGGCTGTGGTCGTGCCCGTGCTTGCTCGTCCCCGTCGCCTGCAGCACGTCAGCGCCAAGCAGGTCGCACGGCATGGCAACAACAATGTCGTAGGTCAGCTTGAGCGAGCCATCGACGACCGGATCGACGCCGTAGCTGAACGCGGCCTGCTGGTTGAAGTACTCGCCGAGCTCTGCGCCGACCAGGAAGACGATCAGCACCAGGCAGACCAGCGTCACTGTTGAAATCATTATGATCGGATTTGTGTGGATTGGTCAAATGGCAAACATGAAGCGCGTCAGTGTCAGTGTTGTGACCAAAGTTGCTCAGACAACATCCAAAACCGGTCTGTGTGTTTGAGGTGTCCTGCTCACCTGTGCCGCCGCTGGAGGACGTCTCCTTGTAGGTCGAGGCGACTTTGGGGAAAATGTCCAGCTGCTTGACAAACTCGAACGGGCTCTTGTCGGGAGCAGCAGCAGCAGACGATTTCGGATTCATCTCAAAACGAAAACAGAAACGACTGAACTGAAAAAGAAATCTCAGACAACCATTGAAAAAAGGAAATGTCAAAAAAAAATGAAACACCTCCAACCTGACCGCTGATGGAAAGCTGTCTGACTTGCAGAGTCAACAAACCCTGGAATTCCGCCTTCTGTCTGTCTGTCTGTCGTTCAGTTCTCTTATTTCAATCCCGTATTGTAGTACTAACACGCACGAGACTGTGAAAAGAGTAACAACATGAATATTTCGGAAACAATAAAATCACACGCCTCTCACGGCTCGGACAGCAAGTCCACAATCTGCGACAGGGCAATCGTCACGAACGAGAGCTGACGGGAAAACTCTTGCACGTTCTTCTCGTAGATGGCATCAGTGAGACCGGGGAACATGGATCCCGCGTACGAATCGTGCGCAGCTGGAGCGTAAATCATGTGGCGGAAGAAGGCACGGCCGGGTAGGCCCTCTTCGATCAGGAAGAGACGTTCGAGCATCATTAGTCGATCGTTGTAGTCGCGAAGAACCAGGGGCTTCACGGTAGCGGGCAGAGCCGCGAGCTTGTGATCAAACAGCTGCGCGGCGAGCACAAACTTGCTCGTGCTGGGCGTTACATGGCTCGCGTCAACGGGAATGCCAGCCGCGGTCGCAGCCGCCACGACCTCGAATAAGTGCTGCTTGATCTCAATGGCGTAGCGCGAGCAGTTGAATGCAATGGCCGGCACGGAGGCAAGTTCGACCAACGCGCCAATCCAGATTTTCGTGATGGCCGCGTGGAACTGGAAGCCGGGATCGAGCACGTTGGCGACATACTCGAACGTGTCCGATTGGGCGTGGTAGACGGGGTAGGAAGAGAGAGTCGGGTCGGCATAGGTGAACTGAATGTCGAACGAAGGGACGCCGTGGTGGCTGAGAAAGCTCGTAAAGTCGCTGCCCGAGCCCAACGGCCACACTTGAGGCTCGTCGCCATTGTTGTTGTGGTTGGCCGCGGCAACTCGCGCCCAGACATCATAGACGGACTCCTGGGAGGCGGTATCGTCCAACGTCGGCTGCATGACGCGCTTGGCCGAGCGGAAGATGAGGTCCGACAGATTCGGCGTTGCAGCCGCATCAAACACGTCGGTTCCAGCCACCGCCACATCCAAGTTCATGTACGCCACGACTCGCGACGCCATGTGGCCCCGGAACTGGTCTGTAAACTCGGTGGAGCCAATCAAACCGTACTCTTCAGCGTCCCAGTAAGCGAGCCAGATCGTACGCCTCGGACGCCAGCCCATCTCGAGCAACTCGGACAGGCTGCGGGCCAGCTCCATCATGCACGCCGACCCGGTGGATGGGTCGATAGCGCGGTTGCCCCAAGCGTCTTGGTGGTTTCCAGCAACAACGATGCGGTCGGGCTAGGAGTGGGAGGGGGGAGGAAAGTCAGGCATATGGGACAAAATCATGACAAGAAATGCAACACAAATCAGCAAATAACGCAACAACAAACAACAACAAACAGCACCACAAACAGAACTCGGCTTGCCTACCTCTTCCGACCCTCGAATCACGGCAATCGTGTTGTAAATGTTCCGGACGGCCATTTCTGAGCAAACGTCGAGTCGGATCTTGTCGTCGGAAACACCCTGATCCGCAGAAGAAGCAGCAGCAAAGCCAGGGCCGACGCGGTACTCTGGCACCGACAAGCCGCCAATCCACGCTGCGGGCGCAAGGGGCCCGCCCATCTTTCGCATGAGAATCTCTGCATTGGTGTACGAGATGGGCTGCACTGGAATGCTCGGCAGAGAGACGTGCGGGTCGCCCATGGGGTACTTGAACAGACCGTCCAGCGCTGGCATTCCTGGCGTGAGCGGGTCGCCAGACTCGAGGAAAATGGAGCCGCGCTGAGCGCCGTCCGCTGGGAGCCAAGGGCCGCTCGGGTAGGTTTTGGTTCGATCGCGAGCATAGTCGGCGGGATCAGAAAAGATGAGCATGCCCGCGCAGCCTGCAGCGGTGCCGGCCTTGACCTTGTCGCCACGGAAGATTTTGCCGTAGCGGGCCAGGCAGATGCAGCCGGTGGCGTTGCCGCCAAGGGTGGCCAGCTCGGCAAAATCCTCCACACGGCCATAGTTGACGTACACGGGCAGCCCAACGGCAACAGCAGACGGACTGTACGCAACGAACGGCGGTAGGTCGTCACTCACGGCATCATACGACTTTTCCGAAAGGTCGAGCTGCAGGAATGGCGTCAGAGCCGCCCCCGCGACCAGCTGCACAGTGCTCTGGCGGTCGCTGCACGGGTAGTTGAGCAAGACGTCGTACGAATACTGCTTGACCGATGAGAATCCGCCAAAGCCCTGCATCGTGGCAGCCGACCACTTTGAGAGTCGCAGCAGGCCGTCCGAGCCAGCAATGTGGTTTTCCAGCGTAAAGTTGCTAACAACGAACGAACGAACGAACGAACGAAAGATGATTTGCAAACAAAAGCGCGGTGAGTGATTGTTTGGTTTTTGCAGGATGACAAAGTGGGCAATCGATTTCTCAGACGTTCTCAGACGTTATCAAACGTTCTCAGACATTCTCAGACGTTCTCAGACGTGCTCAGACAAAGGTCGGCTCACCTCAAGTAGCGCTTGATGTTGTCGGGATTGACGTGCGCCATGGCAGCTTCGATTGCCTCCTCCATGTCCATGCCGGTGTCTGTGGTTGTGTTTGCGCTTGGTTGCTTGTTTGGCTCTGCGCCGGGCGACGACGCGCAGAGTGTAGCGACGAGGTAGCCGAGTCCGAATCCGACTGCAATGACAATGGAGAGGACTGCGAGACTGCGCCACCACTCGGACACTGGCCTGCACCATGATGAAGATGACGAAGATGATGAAGCGGAGGACTGCTTGGAGCGCACTGGCGTTGGCTTGAGCTTGCTTGGCTTTGGCTTTGGCTTTGGCTTTGCACTACTGAAGGTCACGACGTCCTCTTCATCGTCGTCGTCCTCATCGCGACGAGTGCGAGTGCGAGTGCGCGTGGGTTGATCATCATTGTCGCTGTGAAACTCGTCCATCGACAGCAGCGTCGCATCCGCAGGCGCGTTGTCGTCGTCGTCGTAGCCGCCCAGATTGCCGCCGCCGCCGCCGCCGCCTGATCGACGCCCAAACATTGACAAAGCGGAAGAGTGCAATAGTAAAGACTGAGCTGATGATTCGCGAATGAAAATACTGTACTGAACGAGGTCAATGCTCAAATGCTCAGACCCTCAGACAGCTCTTTTGTTTGTTTGCTTTTTGGATTTGAGGCTATGTCTGCTCTATGGATCCTCATCATCATCATCATCATCATCATCATCATCATCATCATCATCATCATCATCATCATCATCATCATCATCATCAATCAAATACTATTACTGTTACTATCACTGACACTCTTTCGTCGTTCTCAGTCATTCAATCTCAATTTCTCAGTTACTCATTCACTCACTCGCTGCTACTTGCAAGCCGCTCTTCCAAACCGACCAAACCAAACTTCACTTTCACTTTGTTTCCTTCAACTTTGATTCCTGCCAGTAATGCAATCTGTGGCGTCGCTGCATCGCTCGGGCTGCGACGCGTTCTGCCGCGGCTGCAAGGCGTCCATTGCAGATCACCCTCCAGTCAATGCCAATGCCAATGCATGGCCAGTGCGCGCCGCCGTCTGCTCTGTCAACGGCTGCGTCTACCTGTGCGGACTTGCTCATGACGAGGAGGACGCTGCGACGGTGGCTGTGGCTGTGGACGATGCAGACCGAGCTCAATCTCAATCTCAAGCTCAAGCTCAAGCTCAAGCTCACGAAGACAAAGACCAAGACCAATCTCAATCTCAATCTCAAGACCAAGACCAAGAGCAGGACGAAGACCAGGCTGAGCCAGCGCGAACGAAGAGCACACGCGCAAGAAGTAGCTCCCGTCGAGGCCAACAAAGCCAGGCAGCGGTGCCTCCCTCTCACAAGGACAAGGTCAAGGACAAGGTCAAGGCCAAAGACAAGAACAAGGACATGGACAAGGACAACAAGGACAAGGACATGGACAAGGACAAGGACGATGAGACCAGCGGTGCTGCTGCTGCTGCTTCACCGCTCGCTGCCAATCCACTCGTCACAAAGCAGGTGCCCAAGAACGCGACCATCGCGGCATTGGAAAAGCTCGTGCGAGAACTGAGGGCCCTTGTGGCTCCGCTCGCTCAGCGGACGCGGGTCGAATTGCAAAACCCAGAGCAGGAACTCTCGCGCAAGCCGTTGCTCCGGAGCCAGCTCCACAGCGATCTCAACATGTATCTGCGTAGTCGCAAGGTTGAGCCGTTTGGGGCGCAAATCATTGAGGATAGTGTGGCCGATGCACCGACCTCTGCAACCGAGAACAAACGAGCGTACCTGACCAACGCCATCAGCGAGCTCCAGAGTCTGGCACTGGCTCCCGAACGTCTCGGGTGGATATGCCCACTGTGCGCAGATGCTCCATTCCGATGCCATTTGCAAACCTGCTTAAAAGGCATGAAAAACAGGAACGGCATGCAGTACCATGAGCAGCATGCGCATTTGGTTTCCGAAAAGCCGACGAGCAGCAGCAGCAGCAGTAGCCAGCCAAAGAAAGCACAATCCCCCAGATCAAGTGAGCAGCATTTTGTTTTGGTTTATGTGTTCTAGAGTCTGGTTTTGATGAGACGTTTGACCATGTTGTTTCCAACTCGCGTGCTTTTTGGTTTTTTTATCGATCGTCTCTGTATTTTTGTCCTAGGTCAAGCTACACCAGGCACGGCCACCCCTGAAGCTGCGCAACGCAAGATTCGCCATAGAGAGGACGGCGAGCAGAGTCCGCAAACCAAGCGCACGAGAATCGAGCCGGAAACAAACCCTTCGACGCCTGCCCGCACAAGTACCAGTAGCTCTGATAATGCTACTGCCATGGTAATCAACAACCCTGCCACCCCATCACGGGCGAGCCAGACATCGCACTTTACAATCGCGACATTCAACCCGCAAGCACTCGCCCCCGCCCCCGAGGTCGTTGGCAAGTTTGTCAATACGCAGGCACATCCACCTGCGTCCCGCCTTCCACTCATAACATCCCTACATGCTCGAAATCCATCCGTTGGATTGCGACAAATGGACGATAGCGCGCTTGAGAGGCGTTTATTCTTGAATGTCGTTGCGCCCACGCATCAGCCGGTCGCAGCCCTGCCGAAACCTGTCGGCGAAGATGACTTTGAATTGGTCAGCGACACTCAGCAGCGTGGTGCACTTTTGGCCGGGCAATTTCGTCGCAACTCGGTTTTATTCGAGGCCGTCCGCCTTCAGTCGCATCAATCCGCTCCCGTTGCATCTACCGCACGTCAATTGCAGCCACTGACATCGTACGCCTGTCCAAACGCATCCACCCCGATTCGACATGTCCTCAACGTGGGAGGACCCGTCTGGGCGTTGGATTGGTGCCCAACATCGCGAGCCGAGCCGACGCAATACCTCGCTGTGGCCCCGTTGCCTGACGCGTTCCAAATGGGCTCGTGGCTTCAGTGCCAGCAAGATGCTTCATCTGACCAGGCAGACTCGGCGCCACACCCTGCCTCGGCTGCTGCAGGCAACGATTGGCAAAAGTTGGCAAGAAACGCCGCCAAACGCACGCAGACCGGCCTCATTCAGATTTGGGCTGTTCCCTCCTTTCCGTCATCTGGGAACCAGTCCACCCTGCAGTTCAGCGTGGGGCACAATCGCGGTCGCGTGTGGGCGCTGCGATGGTGCCCAAAGCCGAGCGACGGTTGGAACGACGCGGAAATCCTGGGTCACCTCGCTGCCGCCTTTGGCGATGGCTCGATTGCCGTGTATGCGATTCCGCATCCTGCCCGTGTTGCACCAGATGTGGCGCAGTCTGCGGCGGGAGTGGATCGCCCAATCTTGTCGTCTCGGCCTATCTTTGAGTCGTGTTTGCCTCTGGGTGACTGCCCTTCGTGTCTCGTGTGGCAACCGTGCAGCAATGCTACTCCCCAAGATGGCGTCAAGGCGCAGGTGTCAAACAACGAGACTGTGCCCGATTTTGATTACTTTTTGCCCACTCCCATGCACGTGACCCCGGACGCGGCCTCGTCGTCGTCGTCGTCGTCGTCGTCGTCGGATCATCATAGTCCTGAGGGCGATGGACGCTGGCAGCTGGTGGTCGGAGCCAGCAGTGGGTTTGTCTTTGTGTATTCGGTGCCTTGGCGCCAAAATCCGCAACCGGGGGCTCAACCGTCGCTTCGACCTGAAATGTCAAGTCATCTCAACCGCAGCAGTGGCGCCGCTCCCATCCGGACATTCAGAGCACACGAGTCGAATATTTGTGCCGTAGATGTTGGCCCAGGATCGCAGTACCTGGTCGTGACAGGCTCCCTCAACGGTGACGCATCCGTCTGGGATTTGCGCGACTGTGTGCGGCCGTTGCACGTCTTCAAGGAGCGTCGACTCTTGTCCGTACAGTGGACTCCGTGGCAGCCCGTTCTCCTGATGTCGCGCGATACCACCGGAGACAATACCACATTGATGGATCACTACGTCCAAAACGCCTCCAAGCAAGTGTTCTCGCATTACGACTACAGCAGTCGAATGGACGTCTCGAACACTCTCCCACTGGGCTTGATGAGCACCGAGCGCGGAACATTCCACGCAGTGTTCTTCCGCACGCTGGCGCGCGGCCTGCTGGGCTCTGCCAAAACGCGCGTGCAGTCAGGTCTTCGTGTCGGGTCGGAAGTTCACCTGTTCTCAACCAGTGTTCACGCGGTGACAACTTCCCCTTCTGATTCTTCTCAAAGCGATGAGCAGACTGCAGGCGAAACGGGAATCGAGCTGGGACAGCGATTGTCCTTTGAAACCCGCTTTGACAACCAGGGGAACGAGCGAAAGGCCTTGTGCGTCGTTTTCAGCCAAGACCACATTCCTCTCAGAGACAACCGCATTGCACGTCGCGGCAAAGCCCCGTTGCCCACGTCAAAAGCTGCAGAATCGGTGCCGGAGGATGCTGACGCGTTGGGGCACTTTCCCCATCCATTACAGCCTGCCAATCAGTGTCGCATCAATTCCAATCCTGGCATCCTCGATGGTCTGGTGGCAGTGGGGACCAGCAGCGGACTGTTGGCAGTGGGGACCAGCAGCGGACTGTTGGTCGTTGCTCAAGCCAGTGCCAGCGATGCCGCTCTTCCTGTCAAGGTTGTTGTAAATTCAGAGACAGTTGTAGTACATTTCAGAGACAGTTGTAGTACATTTCAGAGACAGTTGTAGTACATTTCAGAGAAGAAAGTATGACTTTTTAATTGCACAAATCCAATCGCCACATCAAATGCTATTTTTCTGTTTGTTCGTTTCGCAGCAAGAAAGGGGGAATCGCGGCTGAGGTCGAGAATTGTTTCACGATTGCATTGGGGTGGCCGTGTTTGCTGCTGGCTTCGATTGCTTGGACTTTGATTTGCCAGAGGAAGCTGCGGGGGCGGCGGCTGCGGCGGCAGCGGCGGCAGTCTTTTTGTTGGCTTTCTTATCCTTCTTCTTCAGGCTATCCATGCTGGCTTTGATGACGTTTCCGAAATCCACGTGGAATTTGGACAAGTCTCGCGAGTTGATCTGAGAACGGAACACAAGAATCGAGACAGAGAACAAGAAAAACATTTAGGAACCGAGATTGTCAGACCTGGATCGCACCAAAAGCCGGCCTTGGCTTACCAATGCGCTAATCTTGCGGTTGCCAAGCGATGCACGAACAAGGCAGCCGGGAGCCGGCTCTTCAGTAGGAGCAGCCACGCCAGCAGCGCGCAATCGCCGCTTGGAAATGTAAGGAGTGTCTGCGAGCGAGAAACGAACCCCAATCGCCATTTGAGATCTTTGTGAGCTCGATCGAACAGTTGTTATTGTACAGCAAAACTCAACTCTCTTTGTGTTGTGTTTGTGCTGAGGTCTCGAGTGCTAGGTTCTGAGCGTTTGCGAGTCCATGCTTTGGAACTTACGCTGCTTCATGGCGAGGCGGACTGAGCCTTGGTTCTTGAGCCGCTGTTGTTGGAAGAGCTTCATGAGCTCGGTCAGAAACTGTGTTGGTTGAACAAACCGAATGAATCAAAAAGTGAGAGAAGCGAGCGTGAGAGTGAGAGTGAGAGTGAGTAAGAGTGAGAGAGTGAGAGTGAGACGGTCGTTCTGTGGCTGCGAGCGGACCACACGAGAAGCGAGTCCAATGAGAGTGGAGTGACAAGCTAGTCAGGCTGGAGTGGAGTGGAGTTTGAGGTTGGAACAGGACAGCGAAACTGGCTGACAATGCATTGTGGCGGCACGAGGAAGTGAGGAAACGAGCGAGAGCCAGGACGAACACGCTGGCTGACTGACTGGACGGGCTGAACGTCATCATCACAAGCAAGCAGTCAAGCAGCCAAGCGGACAGGGAATGGAAGGCGAAAGGAAGGAGCGAAGGAAGGAAAACTGGGGGAGACAAGGAGAAAAAGACAACGGAAAGCCAGCAAGGCTACGGAAGGAGTTCACTAAAACGAGCTGGGATTGCTTATGAAATGGTACCTGGCTGTTATCAAGCAGCATCACTGATCAAAGTACAAAGCAGAATGAAAAGAAGACTGACATTCTTGCTCAGAGTTCTGAGAACAACAGATCAACACACCGTGCTCAGCTGCCCTGTCGCCAATCAAAAGCGCCAACTGTCACCCATCTCTCCTTGCTCCAAGATCAATCCAGGATTGGAATAATGGAAATGGATTTGGAACTGGAAGGGCTTTTCTGAGCACTTGGATTCCGAGTTGTTTGTTGGAAATTGATTTCTTAGAATACATTCTGTCTCCACTCCTTGTTGCAAGTTGCTCATCACTCCTTGATTCAGCAAAAAATGTCGTCCGCGACCAGCGCCATCGAGCTCGTCCGGCGCTTTGGCGAGCAGCTTCAACCCGTAAACGCGCGAACATTGTGCAAACCCCATCAAACAACACAAAAACCCAGCAAAATGCGACGAATTGGAGAGAAGGGGGGGTTTCCGACGTGTCTTACTGTGAAATTTGGCTGGGAATTGCAATGGATTGAAATTTGGCTGGAATTGCATTGGGATTGAAATTTGGCTGGGAGTTGCATTGGGGATGGATCAGCTGGTCTGACTTCCACTGCCATCGCTGCACGCCACTCAACCCTAACCCCTAACCCCCGAACCCCCCTTTCCTTCATTGATCTTGCGTTGTTGTTGTTTGCCTCTAGGACGCGGTCGCTCTCTCGGCGTCGCTCGTCGCGTCCATCCAGCCGCGTGAGCAGCACTCATCCGCCGCGGCACTGGCTGGCCAGGCCAACCCGACCAACGCACCAGGCTCGGGATCCGCTCAAGCGTCCTCATCGTCATCGTCGTCGTTTGCTGCGGCTCCGGGATCGGCTGCTTCAGGCGCTGCGTTTGGATCCAATGCTCAATCCGCTGCCTCCAGTGCATCCAGTGCTGCTGCTGCTGCTGCTGCCGCCGCCGCCGCTTCGAACACAGGGGCATCTTCCAGTTCGAGTGCAACCAGCGGCGGCGGAGGTGGCACGAACGCAGAGCCGATCGATGCGCTGCGGCTGCTCGTCAATCTGCTCTCAGTCTCGGCCGGCGGGCTCACCGGACCAGGTCGCTCGGTCGGCAACCGCATCAGCACCAAGGCATCGGGTGAACTTGTAAGCACGCGCATTTTTTTTGCAGTCAATAACAAGGGCAGGTCTTTGGGGTTTTGTTGCTTGTTTTTTCCAACAAAACCATTCTGCTCACCCTGTTCATCGCTCGTTTTACTCCTCCTAATCGCACAGATTGCGCACCTGTTCTCTGTCTTGTCGGATGCAGGCCAGGTGGGATTTGCTCAACCGGGACGCGTGTGGCAGTTGTGCTCGATGGCACTTCGCCAAATCGACTTGACTGCCGTGGGCGCGCTTCCAATTCCTGTTGGATTCGGAGCTCCAATTGACCTGTGAGTGGTGTGGAGACGCCCTTTTGTTGCTCTTGTTCTTTCGAGTTGTGTTGCACAAGAGAGCAAGACGGCGACCTGTTGTACGACTTGCTTTGCTCATCTTTTTTGTTTTGTTTGAATGTTTTTATTTTCGTTTCTATTTTTTTGCATTCGCCTCTCTGTGCCATTGCAGCCGACGAATTCCCCTCATTCTACCAGTCTTGTTGGCCGTTTCTTCCGCCTGGCAACTCAACAAGCACATCCCGCAAGCGGTTGAATGGGTGTGCGATGCATCGCTGAGCGCCACTGCTCCTCGAATCCGCTTGTCGTCGCTTGCGATGGTTGCTGCCCTCTCCCGTTACCAGCTCCAGCTGCACTACAGAGCGTGGTGGCAACACCATCAGCTGCTGCAGCTGATGCCACGACAGCAGCACCAGCTCCCGCACAACCAAGAGACGGCGCCTCCCCAATCGCCCATCCCGTCCCCTGGGCTGACTCCGAGTGCTCCTCCCGGCACCTTGTCTGCATCCAGCACCATTCTTGATGCAGACTCGATGGATTCGCTCAACGATCAGCTGCAAGAGCTGCTGCACGATCCAGGCAGCCAATCCCGCCCTGCCGATTCCAAGTCTGCGCCGCGTCAGCTGTTTTCGTCTCAACGCAAGTCGCGTCCTGCTTCGAGCACCGTGACTGAAAACGACATCCGGTCCCAAGACGCCTTTACTGTCTTGAGCCTGCAGACCCCGCTCTTCCCCGAGCAGCAGCTCTTGAACGTGCAAGCCTTCTCCATGCTGCACGCTTGGCTTCTCTGCCATCTCTCCTCCATCCGAGCCTCGGCGGATGTTATTCCGACAGGCTCCACTGCCTCCTCGGCATCAGCCAGTGGTGATCGCCTCGACTCGTCCTTCAAAGATGCTGTGGTTGAGTACTGCCTTCGCATTTTCGACCAAGTCGAGACCCGAACCCAAGCCGATCGTCAACGCCTTGGTGAACTTGTACGTATTGAGTCGTGTTGCTGTTCAATTTGTACGGGGGGTGGGAGTGGTTGGAAGAGAAGGAGCCCAGAACGGATGATTTTGAATTGGTTGTTTGGATTGTCATTTTCTAACTGGCGTCTCATCTTTGCACCTTGACTTCTGTTTTTGTCCATTTTGTGCCCACAGGACCGAGCGGATGCAGCATTGATTGAAGCAATCCGCATCCTCGATGTCCTGGGCCAGATCGATCCCTCGGTGGGTCCTCGGGTCTTCCCTGCCGTCAAGCGCCTGTTTGGCCGAAACGCCACAGATTTCACCAAGGGCCCGCTGTTGGTTGTGATTCTCCAGTTTCTTCTCAACCACGCTGATGCGGTCATGTTCGATCCCGAGCCAGTGGTCAAGGCTTTGCTGGTGGATGTGCTCTCGAACGCCTACTGGGACCAAACAACCGCCTTTGATACAATCGACCTTGTGATTCGCAATGTTGATGCACTGTTGGCAATGCAATCTGGACCGCAGCAGCAACAGCAACAACACCAGCCTCAGGCCGTGTCCCACCAAATGCCTCTCGGACATTCTCAGTTCCAGCATCACTCCGCTCAGCAGGCACCCAGCGGCTCGTCGGGCGTCCATCACATCAGCGTCTTGTCGCGGTACTCGCCCAACCTTCTCAAGCTACTCGCCTGGAACCCGCGATCGTTTGTCACGGAAGGCCTTCAGCTCATTCCCACGTTGCTGGGTCCCTCGACCGTGATTCCGCTCTTTCATGCCATCTTGGACTTGCCACTTGTTACCATTGCGCTAGAAAAGGGCAAGTCTGTGCTCGCTGCACTTGCGCCGCCCTTGGATGGCCCAGGAAATCCGCTTTCTGTCGGCGCGGGTCAAGCATCAATGTCAGCCGAGGGCATTGGCATGGCCGCTGGACCCCATGCGGGTGCAATGCAACCGACACCCTTCTCCCGTGCCGGAACCGTGGGGTCGTTGGCGTTTGCGCCCGACAACAGCTCGGCTGGGTTGATCGCGCCCGATTCCAATTTGCCTTATTCCAATCATCCTGCCTTCAATGAACAGGCCACGGCCGCCGCGCTTGCCGCACAATTCCCACTCCGACCCATCTATCTGCACTTGTTGCGCGACGAAGCCGGTGCTGGCGTCGACAGCACAGACACTGGCTTTTTGTGGACTGGCAGCTTGGCGGGTCAACTGGACAAGTTTATGCAAACCGCTCTGGCAAATCCATCCCGACGGATGCTCGCCACTTGTGAGTTGGTTCCCCTTCTTTTGCAGCGACTGTTCTTGACCGTGCTTGAGGACACTCCCGCGGGCGAGACAACGCTCGTTCATCGACAACTTCTGCAGGCGCTGCTCTCTCGCTTCACTCGGCTCTTTGCCATGGGGGCCTACCAGCACACAGTGCGGCACACAATGTCCGAGCTGCTTTTGACCTTGTTGGCCGCCCATCCGCGCTTGATTTTCGAATCGCGGACCCACATTTCCGATTTCCTGACGCAGCGCACGGAAGCGTATTCTCGTGTAAGAAGCGGCGCTTTAGGTTGTTTGGTTTGATTATCTGGGGGTGGGGGGGGGCTTGTGTGTGTGCAGTTGTGTGCAGTTGTGTGGAAGAGAGAGAGGGGCGAGGAGCTGCGCGATTGTGTTTTTTTGTTGTTTGTTTTGTTTTTTTTTTTTTCTTGGCTCCTAGCTCACCTCGCATGCCCTTGTGTGTTTGATTGGAAGGAGGTGTTTTTCCTGAACTTGATCTGGGCTATCGGAGAGTACGCCTCTCCGCAGTACGACGCACGGTTGACGACTGATACGCTTGTCCACTATTACGAGATTCTTGAGCTCTTTGCCTATGAGGTCAACATGACTGCAGCTGCGGCATCTCGCAACGTCGAGGCCTCTTCTGGCGCTGGCTTTACTGCTCGTCTCATGACATCGTTGATGACTGCACTTGCCAAGCTGGCCGCTCGATGCATGGATCTTGCACCTCGCGTTCTGCTTTGTCTTGCCAAAATTGTCAAGCAGCACTCGGGCGACTCGGCCAAATCGGTCCCACCACTGTTCAAATCGGTCGTTCTGAAACGCGCGCATGAGCTGATCAACCTGTTGCATTTCCCGAGGTGCGTGGCTGTTCAACGTGATTTTCTTGGGGGGTTTGGGTTTTTTCTTATTGTTGTTGTTGTCGTTGTTCGACGGAATCTCTTGTTGCTCATTCTCACCATCCACAACCCCTCTCACTGCCTTCCACTACACAGCATTGCCAGCTCCATTCTGAGTGCGAGCTCCTCCAGGCAAGAGGCGCATCCGAATCTGTCTCAATTGCTGCTCTCGACTCGGCACAAGACTGCCTTTGCCGAGTAGTTGCAGGCCTTGCATGAACAGACTACTTGCTCGATTTATTTGCACAGAGGCTGCTTTGTACAATACACTCCATTTACCGTTCATTTGTGCATGTCAGCTCGTGTCGTGTCGTGTCGAGATTTGCAACGTTTTCTGAGCGCATTTTGTTTTTTCCGCCTCCATACTGCTGACTTCGCCCATTCCGGTCTTGAAGTCACTCCTTTATTTGTTTGGTTTTTCTCAGATCGAGTCTTTGAGTTTCTCAGTTTTTTGCGCGCTATTTTTCCTCTCCTCTCCCTTTCTCAATCTTCTCCACTCAACGCCCGGTCGCACGGCTCTCAACCACTGCACAGCCAGACAAATGCCACACGCAGTCATGGCCACGACTCCATCGTCCGCAGCGACGACCTCTTCATCCGCGACAACGAGCGGCGACACGCGGCTGCACATTGCAGTGCGCACGCGCAGCTTGGAGCAAGTCCAGCGCGCCCTCGACCGACCTGAGCTCACCGGTGCGTCGACCTTGGGCCCCAGCGCCGTTGTCGAAGAGCGGCCATTTCGGTCGGGACTTGGTCCGTGTGGTCGGCGTAGAAGAACGCAGCGAGCGCAGACAGATGGCGTTGTTTGTTGCACTGCGCTCAGTCTCTCAGACAATTGAGAATGAAATGGCGACTCAATTTTTTTTTCACTGGATTGATTCTGTTGGCAATGTCAGATGAACGGAAACGATCGCTGGTGAACGCGGCAAACGCGGACGGTCGCACTGCCCTGCACGAAGCTGCGTGTCTGGATAACGAGGCCGTCGCGAAGCTCTTGCTGGACCAAGGTGCAGAGATTGATGCCCTGAAGAAGGCTGGATGGTAAGGGACTGCTTTGAGCTGCATTCATTCATTCATTCATTCATTGCGCAGGATCCGTTGGAAATGAATACTTGTCATTTCACCAGAAACGCAACAAAATGATTGAACAGGACACCGCTCATGTTGGCGCTATCCCACAAGCGTAATGTCATTGCAAGGATGCTCGTTCTTGAGGGTCGCGCCTCGTTGTTCACGTCCAATAAGGACGGCTGGACTCCACTTCACATTGCGACACGGTGAGGAATTGTTGCTGTTCATCCGCTCGCGAGAGACTTTTGCGGATTTGCGCGTGCTCTATTCATCATCTTGCTCGTTATCATGGTGTTTGTTGCCGTAGAGAGGGAGATCCAGAAACCATTCGATTTCTCATCAAACAAGCGCCCGCAACGGTCGCAATGGCGAGCAAAAACGGTCGCCTTCCCATCCACACTGCAGGTACGGTTGGAGAGCAAACCGCTTTCTCAAAAAGAAAACCAAACACAAATGCTTTATCATTGCAAATTCACCACCCTTTTCTGCTTTCATTCGCATGTCTCGAAATTCCCAGCGTTCCATAAACACGTCGAAGCCACCGCCATTTTGTTGTCGGAAGGGTTTGCTGATCCGGTGGCGCGAGACGTGTGTGGCATGACTCCCCAAATGTTTGCTGCATCCAGCGGATCTGCCGCGTGTCTGGCGATGCTACTGGCCTTCCGATGCGGCTTGACGGTCGAGGAAATGCTTCCTCGTGCCGAATCTCCTTCTGGTCAAGACGACGACGCCCACGTCATCGATGCTTGTGAACAAGCCTTGTTGCGCCTCATTTCCAAACAGCACGCACGCGCGGTGCAACTATGGCAGATGTTGCTCGAGCGTGACAAGTGCGGGACGACGGCATTCCTGCACGCAGCCATGACAAACAGCATCCACGTCCTCGCCTTCCTGCTCCGCTTGGTACATGAGTGCGCGGAGGCGCTGGCACCCGCTCTCAATCAGCGCGAACTTGCAGAGGAGGTTTTTGGCCATCCCACTCTCATGGCGCCCGACCTTGTTGTTGAAGACCCCGATCTCGACAATGGCGCCAGAGTGGCCAGGTTTGTCAACACGACCGATTTCCGTCTCAATACTGCGCTGCACATTGCTGCTCGTGCTGGCGCCATCGACGCTGTCGAGTTTTTGGTCGAGCGTGCCCATGTTGATCGATCGCTGGAAGACTCGTTTGGCCGCACCGCCTGCCAGCTCGCGCAGCTATGCGAGCAGCCAATTGCACATGCTTACCTGCGAAAGTTGGATCGGCATCCGTGCTGAAGCGAGCTGTTGGAGCGAATTTTGGCTGTGTCCATGTCGATAGTCTAAAATTATTTCACAGTCGGTCTGAGCTTTGCCTTGGCTGTTTGTTTCATTGGTTTTTTGTGTTTTTTGTGTTTTTTTACTCAATCTTTATCTTTACAAGCTGTGCGTGGTTATCCACACAAGCAACCAATTTTTCTTGTTCACTAAGAAGCACTACACAGAAATTGAACACAAAAGCACGACGCGACAAACCCTGCTCCTCGATTACTTGTCCATGGTCTTGGCTTGGACCTCTCCATAGGCAAGACCGTGGATTTTGAGTTCACGGGAATCTTGCATGATGGCGCAGCATGCGCAGCAGAGGGCGGCAAACAGATCACCCATGAACGAACCCTGTTTGTTTGTTTGTTGATGTCACACCAATTTTGTCAGTTCAAACGCTGGATTAGGGCAAACGGAGGACCCGCCCCCGTCCATCTCCAAAAACAGTAAAAGTCTCAACATCTCCACGAAAATTCGTCTCAAACAAGAAAGCAGGAGCGCAGTGCGGTGTGAACAAACAAGGTCGAAGTGCCAAAAATTCTCCTTTGTTGCTTGCGCTTGTTACCTGAATGCCAAACTTTTTGCGAACATCGCCACGCCACAGAATGTAGACGCATGGGAGACAAGTGCAAACAGCACAGTTCACGCAGAACGCGCCGTCCGTGCCAATAAAGCCGGCGCACTGGAACGGGCCTGCAATTTTGGCAGAGTCCAAGCCGAACGAGGCCTTCCCTTCGCCGAGCACGACGCTGTTGTTAATCGCGAGGCATCGGGACGCGCCCAGGCCGTAGATGACTGGAGCGAGAGAGAGAGTGACAGAGTTAGCGGGAGTTGGAGCATAAAGTAAGTCAACCAAGCTCAACAGATGAACAACGCAAGGGTTGAATGGCGGGGGTTTGACAAGTAAGACAACGATGAGCTACGGTCTGGGGAGTCTTGGAAGTATGACAATAAGCAACGAATTTCGCTTTTTGGCTTTGCTTGTTTGTTGATTTTCAAGGGGGGTGTGCAAAGAAAGCGTCGATGTGGTGAAAAACACAAAAACGGGCAACAGAACCGCTTTGGCTCAATGCCCGGCTCACGGCCAAGCAGCCAACAAGGCCTGCAAGAGAACTATGCGTGATATGAGTAGTGTGGTTTGCTGTTGCGCTCCGAGCATTGGATGAAGGACTGTAGTCGGGACAGGAAATGAGGCTGACCACAGCTGCGGTCGGGTCGGCGTTTCTCACTCCTTCCTCGCCTTCCTCCTTCCCCCCCCCCCCGACTCGTCCTCGAGGCTAGCTCGCCAACCCAGGAGACAGGAAACAGGAAGCGTTTTCCACTCTGATGGTTTTGGTGGGGTTTGTGAGGTGATGTCACTTTTTTCTAAGGCACCTCCCTACTCGACGCGTGCGAATCGGACGATTTTGCACTTCAACCACTTCCACTTCGAGTCAAGTCACCTCGTGTGGCGCCTCGCTGTGCCTCTGCTTGCTGCACTCCAGTTTCCCAAGAGTCGTCGACGATTCTTCTACATCTCTCACTATTCACAAAATGAGTGACTCACAGCACCAACCCGCGAGCCGGCGGCAATGCGGTCTGCGCTCCTAAAAGCAACCAAACTCAGAAAAGAACGCCGGCAAAGCTCATCTCCCGCCATTTCTCGACTTTTGCCACTCGCTCGCTGCGGACTCGTTCGTGTTGTGTGCGTTCAGCCCCATAGTACGTACAGATGGAAAGGTCGTCGAAAATGGCAAACAAGCCAGTGCTCCAATTGCCAGACATTGTGTTCGTCGCAGGCGTTCAATGTGCAAAACCAACAAGTCGAGTTAGAGGAATGAACTCGAGTCCTGGTATTTCCCGACAAAAAGTGTTGTATTGTATTGTTTCTGTTTGGTGTAATTTTGGTTGTGCTCGCCTCAACGGGAGGGGCGAAACCGGAAAGTTTGTCTTGTTCAAATTGCTGTTCTGCAATCAAAACGCGCTGTACCTCGTCAATCGATCTCGAGACCGCTCCAGCCTGCTTTGTTGGGTGAGGCATTCAGTTTGTGAAAGAATACTGCTTGTTAAGGGGCGATCTGGCGAAGTGGCGATTTTTTTGTCAACTTTCGGGTGCTCTTCCAAAATCCTCTTTGCAGAGGACCATGCGAAACCCTGCGTACCAGTCCAAAAGTGAATGCGCCCGATTCCGAACGCACCATTGCTCCAAATGCAACAACAAACGTATGCCACATCGTTATTACAACCAAGCGTTGTTTCAAGTAGCGCGCATTGGGCCAATCAACACGACTGAGAATCGAGTTGGCAATCTTGACCTGCATCGATGCGCCTCCTGCCACCTCAGCCCATCTCGCTAGATAATTATCATGTAGATCATATTTTCCATCCAATTCACCTGCGATGAGGCATATTTGTGCTCGTAATCCTCCTTTCCGAGCGGTCCAAACGGAGGGATTTGTTCGGATTGAATTGTTTGTTGTCTGTGAGTTGGCGACCTCCCTCATCCCTCCTTTGTCCTTTGTCTCCCTTTGTATTCGTCCTGCACCATAGGTTCCATCTCTCCCCATCCAATCTCCCATCGTAACGCGTTCCACACTTCAATGCATGCAAACGACTGAAACTTGATTTTTTTCTTATCTTTTTTTTTTTTTTTTTTTTTTTTTTTTTTTTTTTTTTGTTATCACTCTTTTTTTTTTCTTCCCTTTTCCCCTTCTTTCTCTTCGCCTTCGGCCGAGCAGTCCGCTTTTAGACTCTCCGTCTTTCACGCTGACGTCGCTGCCGTCTGCCGCATCTTCGGCCGAAGGGGCCGTCGGGGCTTCTGCGACGCTTGGAGGGGCTGCTGCTGCTAGTGCTGCTGCTAGTGGAGGGATTTCGTCTCTCCCTGCCGAGATGTCTGCAACGCTTGCCCTCGCGTCTGACTCTACAGCACAGGCAGCAGCAGCAGCAGCAGAACGAGCAGCAGCAGAACGAGCAGCAGCCGCAGCCGCAGCCGCAGCGGACGAGGCCAATCGCAGCATTGACGCTGACATTGAGGCTGCGATCGCCGACGACAGCAGCGCTCTCCGGCACGCCGAGGACCACGACCACGACCACCTGTACCACGACAATGAGAACGAGAACGAGAACGAGAACGAGAACGAGAACGAGAACGAGCTGGACGACGTGCAGCGGCGGCAGTCGTTTCGTCAGCTTCGTCTGCGCCGCCAACATGTGCCACTCAATCCCACTACCGCGGCTGCAGCTGCGTTCGAGCAGGACGACCGCGAGTTTGGATCGGACACGGCGAGTCAGGAGCTCGGCGCTGGCAACATGCATCCGGACGCGGACATGGACCCGATGGACGATGCCGCTGGCGATGCTGCTGGCGGAGGAGAAGGCGGCGTGATGGCCGACTTTGATGACATTGAGGGCCAGCGCGCGCAAGGCCATGACGAGTATCACGAGAGCGAGCACTTTATGGACCAAGAGCAGGATCTGCAAGACCTGAACGAACAAGACCTGCATGAGCAAGAGCTGAACGAGCACGAGCTGAACGAACACGAACTCGACGACTCGGACGCAGACCGGCTCATTCACGCATTTCCTCAGGGCCTGTCGAGGATGAGCTCGTGGACGCTGCCAAGCATGCAGACACCGTCCATCGACAGCTTTGACCAGGACGCGCTGGCAGCCTTCCTCGCAGAAGAAGAGAGCCAGGTTGGAAGCGGCCTCACCAATCTGTTTCCCTACAGCGACGACGAAGGTGGCGATCCGCAGCACCAGCGGGCATTCCTGTCAGCCGCTGCGTTTGGCATCTCTGGCGATCCTGTCGCTGAAGCTGCAGAGACGGACGATGGGCTCATGGCGACTGGCGAAGCCGCGACAGGTGATGACAGCGGCGGCGCGCTCGAGGATGCAGATGCTGCAGGACAAGACTCGAGCACTCGAGGGATTGGCGTCGCTGGTGCCTTTGATTTGGGTAGCACCAGTCCAATGCAGGCAGACTATGCTCGCACCGAGGAGTTTCTCCCGGCTCTGTCCAACGCTCCTGGCCTGAACAACGCTGCAGGCGTCTTGCCCAACCAGCAGCTGTTGGCTGTGCCTCCCACCACTGCGCCAAAGCGAGGTCGTCCGCGAGGCTCGCGCACTGGTGCGCGCACGCCTCCGGCTGGCGGCGCTGCCGTGGCGGCCGCTCGCTTGCAACGACAAAGGCCCAAAAAACCAATCCCGGCATTCCTGTATTTTGGTCGCGCAGTCAGGCCTCAAGTCCGAGCCATGTATCCAGACGACAAGCTGGCCGACATTGCCACCAAGATTGGAAAGCTGTGGGCAGCCTTGCCATTCGAAGAAAAGGCGCACTACGAGCAGCTCGCCTCGGCAGACAAGCTCCGCTACCGCGAAGAGGCGAGCCAGCCTTCCTACGCCGTTGCCCCTGGCGCTGCTGCCTTGGCGTCGCGCGCCAATACAAGCCAGACTGGTCTCGAGACACTCCGCAAAATCAAACGCCGAAAGGATCCTGCTGCGCCCAAGCGCGCCTCTCCGGCGTACCTGTTTTACGCGCAACATGCGCGTTCCAGCGTTGCCGCCGACGACCCAACTGCATCGAACAAGGCTATTGCCAGCAAGCTGGGAGAAATGTGGCGCGCCCTTCCCGTCGGTGAGCGCGCTCCCTTTGAGGCCTTGGCCCAGCGTGACAAGGATCGCTACGACTCTGAGCGGCGGCAGTGGATGATGGAGCGCGATGCTCAGCAGAGGCTGCTTCGGCAGCAACGTTTGCAGCAATCTGCTGCTCTCAACTCTGCGGCCCGGGCAGAGGATGCAGCCAAGCGCGCAGGCTTGCCAGAGTTGCCGGGAGTTGCTGCTGCGGCTTCCGCGTCTGCTGCCACTCCATTTACTGTCCCCTCTGTCACCACCACCATGCCATTTCGCGGGCCGCTTGGCCTCCCCGTTGGGTTGCAGACAGGAATCGAGTCGCAGTCATCACTCGCCCAGCCAGCGTTGCAGCAGCAAGGCGGCAGCACTGCCTTCTTGTTCTCCGCGCCGGCACCGCCACCGCCCGTTCGAGAAACCGCATTGTTTGCTGCGCAAGTGTTCCAGCCTGCGTCGCAGCTCAGCACTCCGCAGCATCTGTACGGCGGACCCTCGCCAGCCGAGTTGCAGCCAGCAGCGGCAACGGCAACGGCGGCCACGGCAGCTATCACGAGTCGTTCCAAGCGAGCGTCCGTCTCCCACACGCCTGCATCTCGGTCTCCAACCGAACTGAACGCCACTGTCGACCGCCAACAGCAGCAAATCTCCGAGCTCATGTTGCTCGTTGCCTCCCAGCGCAGCCAGATTGAGCAGCAAAACATTCAAATCAGGCAGCAAAACGTGCAGATTGAGCTGCAGCAAAAGCTGTTTGCGCAGGTGCAGCTTCCCACCCCTTCCCAAATTCAGCCCAAGCTCGAGTAAATAACGAGGGTTTTGTTTTGGCTCGGTTTCTCCATTTCTCTCTTTCTCCTCTCTCTCTCTGTTTTTTTCATCTCCCCTTTCAATTCTTTTTTTCCCCCCTCTGTTTTGATATTAATGTCGTTGGCTATTTTTGTCTATTGTCTGAATAGTTCCACATTGTTTTCTTCCTTTTTTTTTGGCCACTTGCTACCAACGGTTCCACGACTACACGGAAATCCACAACTTTTCAAAGCGTATCCGAAAACAAAAAACGAAAAAAAATCATTGTAATAATCACAGACATACAATCATGCAAAATCAGACAAATCATGAATTACAACGTCACTGTTCGTGCGTAGGTAATGAACGAAGTCTGTTGGATTCGCTGGAGAACATCGGCGGGGATAGGCTGGTCAGTGTTGACAATGCAGAGGGCTTCCCGCTTGGAGTCGTCGCGACCGAGGGTGAGGTCGGCAATGTTGATGCTGGCCTGGGCAAGATGGGTGCCGATAGCAGCAATGACGCCGGGCTTGTCCTCGTTGCGGTAGAACATGAGGTGGCCAGCCGGGCGAACTTCAAAGGCAAACTGGTCGATGCGCGTAAAGCGCAGGTTGTTGGTGCCGAAAACGGTGCCAGCGTACTCGTGGTCCTCCGTCTCGGTGGTGTACCGGAGGCTGAGCACGTTCTGGTACTCGTCGTGGGGCTCCGAGGTGCGCTCCTCGCGAACATGGAGGCCAAGCGCGTCGGCAATCATGCTGGCGTTGACCAGGTTGACCGGGGTTGCTTGCAAGTGGTTCAAGATGCCCATCAGGACGGCGGCGCACAACGTCGACGACGACGACTGGATAGCCTTGCCTTGAGCGGTCACCGTGAGGCGGTGCAGCCACTTGGACGAGCCCTTCTCAAAGGCAGAGCCGACCATGAGCTGCGCAGCAAGCAGACCGAGCTTGGAGCCAAGGATGACCCAAGGCTTGAGGTCGTCCCGAAGCGCGTGCATCATGGCAGGGGCGTTCACCGCACCCATGATCTGCGAGCCGTGGGTCGCCTCAACAATCTGCTGGCCAATCTCCAAGGCAACCTTGGCTTGGGCCTCCTCCGTGCTGGCGCCGAGATGAGGGGTGACGATGCAGTTGGGGTGCTGGATGAGCTTGTTGTTGGCAATGTCCTTCGGGGGCTCCTCGTCGAAAACGTCGAGAGCAGCGCCGGCAACGTGGCCGCTCTCGAGCGCGCGGAGCAGTGCCGCCTCCTCGATGATGCCACCGCGGGCGCAGTTGACAATGCGCACGCCCTTTTTGCACTTGGCGAGAACGGCGTCGTTCAGCAAATGGCGCGTCGACTCGGTCAGCGGCGTGTGCACGGTGATAAAGTCGGCAAGAGGCCACAGCTCGTCCAGGTCGTAGGCATCAATGTTGATGGCCTTGGCGGCCTCCTTGGGGAGAATGGGGTCGTATCCGATGGTCTGTTTCCCCCGGCGAGCAAGTCAATGTTTGAGTGCACAATCACAAAACCATTCAAAAACCATTCAAAACCAGCACAAAAGCAAGTCATGCCTAACCTTCATGCCGTAGGCTTGCATGCGCGTGGCAACCTCGCGACCGATGCGGCCAAGACCAAGGATGGCGATCGTCTTGCCGTGCAGCTCGACGCCCATAAAGTTCTTGCGGTCCCATTTGCCCTGCTTCATGGTCGCATGTGCCTGCGGGATTTGGCGAGCCAGCGCAGAAATCATGGCGCAAGTGTGCTCTGCGGCCGACAGTGTGTTGCCGCCAGGGGTGCTATCAGAGACGCAACAAAAGTGTGTTGGTGTGAGTGAGAAGAGAACAAAACAAAGCCATTCCTATGCTGCTGGTGAGCGTGGTGCATACTTCATGACAATGATGCCAGCGTGGGTGGCCGCGTCCGTGTCAATGTTGTCGACACCAGTGCCAGCGCGGCCAATGATCTTGAGGCGGGTGCCTGCCGCGATAATCTCCTTCGTGACCTTGGTGGCCGAGCGCACAATCAAGGCATCGTAGTCCTGTCATTTGGGCGAAATTCAAGAGCAGAGCATGAGGTTAGTGATGAGAGCAGCAATGGGCACATACACACACGTCCACACGTCCACACACACACACACACACACATCCACACGTCCGAATGCTGCTGTTTTTGGAAGTGGAAGCGGTGGGTCAACAATCAGTTTGGCTTTTGACCACTGTGCACCCTGAACATGAACATGAACATGGCTGGTACTTTTTCACTGGCACCTCGCACACCATCCCCCGTTTCGACGCACCACAGAGCAGATCAAGGAGAATGAGAATGATTGTGGATTGTTGCTTCAGTGGGAGCAACATCATGGTTTTGGGTCTTTTTGGGCTTTGGTGCGAATGATGGCCACACACACGCACACACGCACGCACACGCACACACACGCACATGTAGTAAACCAACCAACGTGCAAGCCACAATCAAAAACAGCCGCCCTCCAATCAATCCCAAACCACGAGTGTTGGTACGAAACAGGCCACACAAAAAGGCGTCGAGTGTGAGGATGATGATGGAGCCCTCGTCAGCCACTGTTGCCTCATTCGACGATTATACGCTTCAAATGGCATCAACAGTGATCGGAAGAGACAGACAGACAGACAGAGACAGACAGAGACAGAGAGACAGAGACAGCGAGAGTCGAACACGCACAAGACACCCGCACGTGTTTCAGATGCATTCAGCCGACATTTTTCAACAGTGCCCGCATTGCAATGCAATGCAATGCAAAGGCAAATCTCAGCGACGACATTCGAGATATGAAATGGAAATCGAACAAAAGGAAGGGAAAAGAAAAAAGCAAAAAAAGAAAAAAAAAAAAGCGGAAATTAACCATAAAAACATGGAGGTAACAAAAAAAAAAAAAAAAAAAAAAAACCAAAATGAATGCGAATCGCATTGAGGTTTTGTGTGTGTGCCCCTCCTCGCCCTTGTCTGCAGACTCGTGCCACACAGACACCAACACACACACATTCACATCAACACGCACTTGCACACACCCCTTCCCCCTCCCAATCTGCATGCTTTGCCACGTTTTTCACCATGGAATCGAACCGCAGAAACCGATTCGCCAACCGCTGTGCTCTCTCTCTCACTTTACATCTCATCACTGAAGCAGCCACAGCACAACAACTGGAACCACCACCACCAGTGGGCCGTTGGGGGGAAAAAACTGACCTTGATGGTGGCAAGGACCTCGTCCTTGGTAATCTTGTCCTTCTTGTCGACCTGGAACCCGGCGTCTGCGAGCACCTTGACGCACACGTCGTCAATGCCGTCCACCACGAGCACGCGCTTGATCTCAAGCATTGGAGTCTTGTTCAACTGCAACGTTTTCAATTCAAAAAGCAGCAAGCAGCAACAAAGGTCAGTGAAAAGCCAGTGGTTTGAGGTTTTTTTCCATCCACAGTTCCAAAACCAAACCAAATAAAAATTCGAGCGAAGAGAGTGAACTTCCCTCCCCTTTTCCACTCAAACCAAAAACCAAACGAAGCAAATGTCTCAATGTCTCAATCTGATGAGTGCCAGCGAGCCGAGTCGCAATCTGAAGCAAAGTGTAGTGAAGTGAGGCAAAACTCTCACAGTTCTGTGCCTTTCTTCCCCATTCTCCTTTCGCCTTCTCTCGCTCTCTCTCTCTGTCTGTTCTCTTCTATTGAACGCTCTTCTGCCTCATCATCAAACACGCTTTCATCATCATCATCATCATCATCATCGTCTTCACTCTCATCCGTCCTCGTCTCGTGCTTTTGCTTTTCTTTTCTTTTGGCTTCTCCATAAATCCCTGCAATCTGGTTTGCTGGCGATTGTTTCGCTTTGAGGTCAGCAGGCGAGTTCCACCACGTGAGCCCAGATCATCATCGCCCCCCACTCACACTCACACTCTCACTCACACTCTGTCTCTGTCTCTCATCGCACCTACCCCACCCCCTCCAATTGCAGTCGCACGAAACAGGCTGAGGGAAGGGGAGGGCTTCAAAACTTCAACTGTGGCTGAAATTGCACGACGAGGTCATCAAAATCCAAAACCTCCGCTTTTCTCACCCCCACAGTGCAGTAGCACCACAGGCGATGCCCTTCGTCTTTGCCTTTGTACAACAAAGACCCGAGGCGAGGCGGGATTGTTTCGGCGGAAGAACGGAAGAGTGGGATCGTTCAATCTCTTTCATTCATTCATTCAATTCAACTCGATGCAACACAAACCTGATGTCCTCGTGCAAAACCCATGACTGTGGAAAGCTTTTTTTGTTTGAATTGAATCAAAACCGATGAACAATCGCAAAAAGCAGCGAATCTCTGTTGGACGCTCAACCTCGACCTCTGGTTGACTGAGCGTCGAGTTCAACTGCGCTGCACCTCGACCTCTGGTTGACTGAGCGTCGGGCTCAACTGCGCTGCACGAGCTGGCGTTGCTTGTTTCGCAGTTGGAGTTGCAATAAACCAAAAAAAATACACGCCCGTCTCAGAATCTGCGTTCTCAGTCTTTTTTTTTTTTTTTTCCCCCTCCTTCTCTCTCTCTCTTTCACTCCTTCTCTTCATCCATGCCGAAGAAGCAGAAGGTGGGCAAGACCCGCCGCGACAAGTTCTACAAGCTTGCCAAGGAAGCTGGTTACCGCTCCCGCGCGGCCTTCAAGCTGATTCAGGTAAAGCGACCACCGATCTTCACCTTCCATTCTCCCCCGCCACCCAGGTCCATCCAGTCTGTGGCATCAACGGCGGTTGTCCGATTGGGGGATGGGAGGGGGTCTGCTTGTGTGTGTGCTTGGCAGTGTTTCGTTGGCTGGTAGTTCCATTGCCATGTGGACTTCTCCCCCCTTCCCTTCTCCCCCTTCGCTCTTCCGTTCACACCGAGTGCCATTCGCAGTGTCCCAATCAGCCCTCCAGTTCTCTCTTGGGCCTTTTGCTCTTCGTCGTGGGCAAGAGCTCACCGGAGAGTCCCTCCGCAATGAATGGGCGGCATTGAGGGGTCGCTGTTCTGGTCCATGTGGCGCTTTTGCTCCCTCGGTCGTCGCCTTCCATTGCTGCTGCTGCTGCTGCTGCTGCTGCTGGTGGTCATGCTGGTCGTGCACAAGAAGCAAGTCCAACGAACGAAAAAATCAAAGCGAGATCTTGCATCAACGGCGTGTGTGTGTGTGTGTGTGTGTGTGTGTGTGGTCTTGGAACCTGCAACAGCGCAATGCAGCTCTCATTCATACGCCACTCAACCATTGCTTCAGCTCAACGATCAATCCTTGTTGATGATGAACTGAGATGCACATCAGCTGCTCTCTACAATCCAACAACGTCACTCAACTTACCCCCCGTTCTTGACCCACTTTTGTGATTGCTTTTGGACAGCTCAATCGCAAGTACAACTTCCTCGGAACGTCCCGCGTCCTGCTCGATCTATGCGCAGCGCCTGGTGGCTGGCTGCAAGGTACGAGGCACACATACACACAACAATCATGCCGACCGTCTTTATTCGCGCCTTGTTGACTGACCAACTGTCTCATTCTCGCCCACTCACTCGCTCGCTCGTACAGTCGCGTCAAAGCACATGCCAGTGTCCAGCGTCATCATCGGCGTCGATCGCGTGCAAATCAAACCCATCCACAACGTCATCTGCTTGACGGAGGACATTACGACAGACAAGTGCCGCGCCGCCATTCGCAAGGAGACGAAAGGGTGGAAGGTCGATTGCGTGCTGCACGACGGTGCGCCGAACGTCGGTACGTCGTGGACACAGGATGCCTACACCCAGGCAGCACTTGTGCTCATGTCGCTCAAGATTGCCTGCGAGCATCTCGGCCAAGGCGGCTGGTACATTACCAAGGTCTTCCGATCCGCCGACTACAACGCCCTCGTCTGGGTCTTTCAGCAATTCTTCAAAAAGGTCCACGCCACCAAGCCCCAGGCCTCGCGTAACGAGTCTGCGGAAATCTTCGTCGTCTGCCAAGGCTACAACAAGCCCGACAAGATTGACCCGCGCATGTTCGACCCCAAGTACATCTTTTCCGAGGTCGAGGCGCCCGCCAAGCCTGTCGACTTGATGAGCGACAAGCCTGCCAAGAAGGCCAAGGCCGTCGGCTACCCGGATGGTGACGCTGGCTTCCATCGTCAGCTCTCCGCCCAGACGTTTGTGCTGTGCGACGAGCCAATCACCTTTCTGGCCCAGGCCGCGCGCATCGTCTTTGACGATTCTCCCGGCATCGATCCCGTCACAAAGCGCCCGCTGCCCAGCATCTACTTGACACATCGCGAGACGACCGACGAAATCAAGGCGTGCTGCGCAGACATTCGCGTTCTCGGCAAGTCCGAAGTCAAAAACCTGCTTCGCTGGCGCCTGTTGATGCGCGAGTACTCTGACGCCCTCGAAAAGCTCAGCGGAGGCAAAAAGAAGGCTGCCCTGGCAGCAGCAGACGAGAGTCCGGAGACCGCCCTCAAGCGTGCACGAAGCGAGATGGAGGGCTCGGACGACGATGACGGCGACGATGGCAGCGAAAACTCGGACGACGAGGAAAGCGAGGATTCGTCCGAAGACAGCGAGGAAGACACTGACGACGAGAATGCCATGGAAACAGAGGTGTCCGACCTCGAGAAGGCCGCCCTGGCCGAGCGCAAGCGCCTTCGTCGCAAGGCGTACAAGAAGCGCATCAAGATGCGCGAGCGCCTCAACCTCAAGATGGATCTTCCCGACGACGTGCACGACATTGCGCGCGACGACACGCTGTTCGACCTCAACACAATCCACTCGGCCAACGCCCTCAAGCGCGTGGCGGCAGCGGACGTGAATTCGCTCAACACTCCCGAGCTGCTCAACGTCGCCTCGGAATCGCATGATATTGTTGTGGAGCGACCAAAGGTCGTCACGATCAAGGACATGTACGACGATGACTTTGACAGCGCCGAGGACGACGACACGGACGACGAAACTGGCGAATCCCACTACTCGCGTGCCATGGACCGCTACCTCGACAAAATGTACGAGGCGTACAAGGAAAAGAAGAATTCCAAGGTCGCTCGCGTCCGCAAGGGCAAGCGCGTCAAGAAGCTCCGCGACGCCACTGGTGCCATTATCGACCCAGCAACCGCTGCCACAGAAGAAGCCGACGATTCCGACGATCCCGAGTATGCCGGCTTGGACGAGGACGAGCGCCGCGAAAAGCAATTGGAGAAGCTCTACAAGACAAAGATTGTTCCCGACATGACCTCTTCCCTGCTCGACCGCGACGGCACGGGCCACGTTGAAGACGAAGGCGACGATTCGGACGACTCGGATGACATGGAGGGCAGCGAGGACGAGGACGAGGACGAGGAAGACGGCGACGACAGTGATGCGAGCGGCGCGGATGACAGCGACGATGAATTGCACGCGCAGCAACGCATGATGGCCGTCGATGACGCCGACGAGCCCAAGCGCAAGGGTGTCTTCCGAGCGCCTGCTCGCAACGAGAACCCGCTGTTGGCCAATCTGGAGGAAAATTCCCTGACCTCGTCCAAGAAGGCCAAGCTCTGGTTTAGCGACAAGCTGTTCGCTGACAATGGCGCCGACGACGACGACGACGACCTCGAAATCAAACGACTCAAGCTCATGGCCAAGCGTGCTTCTGGCAAGGCTGCTGCAGCAGATTCCGACGCCAGCGATGAAGATGACGATGACGACGATGATGATGATGATGAAGAAGACGAAGAGGAAGATGACGAGCCCAAGGCCAGCAGCTCCAAGCACGCCAAGCAAGGCAAGCAAGCCGCAGCTGCGCAGCCACAAAAGAACCAGAAGCAGCAGCAACAACAACAACGCAACAGTAAGAATGGTCGACCTGCTCCGATCAACTCTGTCAGTGCGGATGGCTTTGAAATTGTTCCCGCTGAAAATGTGGCTCGCCACGACTCGGACGATGACGATGACGCGCCCGAAGGCGAGACGCCCAAGGAGCGCAGCCTGCGGCTCAAGAAGCAGTCCCTCACCCCCGAAGGTCTGGCTCTCGGTACCCTGATGCTCTCGCGCGCCAAGAAGCGCGACCTGGTCGATGCCTCGTACCACCGCTACGCCTTTGCCGACAAACTCGAAATGCCCTCTTGGTTTGCCGAGGATGAGGTGCAGCACATTCAGCCAACACTGCCAATCACCAAGCAGATGGTGCGCGAGTACCGCCAACGCTTGCGCGATCTGAACGCCACCCCCATCAAGAAGGTGGCCGAGGCCAAGGCGCGCAAGCGCATGCGTCTCGAGCGCAACGTCACCAAGGCCAAGCAGAAGGCGCAGGCCATCAACGACGCCCCAGATCTTACCGAGGCTCAAAAGGCTCGCCAGATTGCCAAGCTCATGAAGTCCAGCTCTCGCCAAAAGAAGGTCGACGTCAAGTACATTGTGGCGCGCAAGGATGGTTCGTCCAAGCCTCGCGGCATGAAGGGCCCGTACAAGATGGTCGACGGCCGTATGAAAAAGGAGGTGCGCTCTGCCAAGCGAAGAGATCGCAAGGCTCGCAGCAGGCGATAAGCTGCTGCTGGGTTAACTTTGAGTTTTTTTGTTTTCCTTGCTTGGAGTTCTAGTCTTTGGTGGATTTTGTTTTGTTGTCTTTATTCATTCATTGTTGGTGTTGTCAAAGACCCCTCAAACAAACAAACAAAAAAAAAAAAAAACCACCCACATCCATTGTTATTTTTGATTTCTGCAGTATTTTTTCTATTTCGATTCATATTAGTGTGACAAATCCCCCAAATGAATGGGACAGGACAACTTCATCCGCTTCATGATTGCGAGGAAGAAAGAATCATGTCCAGCGAGCCAATCAATTGGTAAAGTTGCTTTTGGAAGGCAATCTCGGTGGCAATGACGCGTTGAAGCTTGACAAAGAGCTCATCGATCACGATCGACTGACCGAGTGCGGGAGTATAAATGTCTGTTCGAAAGCAAGCAGGAGTCAATACTCGAGAAAGCCACGCCAGCGAAAAAACGAAAAAAAAAAAAAAACCCCAATACAACAAAAAACCCCAAAATGACGGTCTCAGCGACATACCAAAAAGCATGTTGCTCAAATCAATCAATAGAGATGAATAGCGCGGATTGGCAATATTCTTGATCAGGAAAACAATCAGGGGCTCCAGGGTGATCTCGTCACGCCCGGCCAGCGCGATTCGCAAGCCGTCGCGGTGGACAAGTTCTTCCAATAGAGAGATGACAATGATTGGGCGCTGACCAGTCTGATGATGGGCAAGAGTGGTGGAATAGAGCCGTGAGCAAATGGGCGAACACGAACGAAAAAACGACGACGACTACCGCAAGCAAGCGCAAATCTGGTTACATTCAGCACTGCGTCCAGGGCGTTTTGGTACTGGAACTTTTTCAAAAACACCTCAAACGGCTTTAGTCGTCGCTTGCGGCGCACCTCGACTTTGAAATCATCCTGTAAAGGTTGAGATTGAGTCAGAAAACGGCAGCAACAGCAAGAAAAGTAAAAGTAGGACAATCAACTCGCGGAAGAAAACAAACCTGAGAAGGCTGATGAGTCTTGCCGCGAACAAAATAACGATACGTGCCACCCCGAACGGCGCGCTCGCTCTTGAGCTGGCGGACCACTTCAGCGGTCTTGACCGCTCGATGGCGAATTGAGAGAAGACCATTGGCCATACCAACAACCAGATGTGTGTCGTCAGGCTACGTTCATGAATAGAGAGGGACGTTTACAGAAGGTGAGACGAAAACCAGATAGAGCAAACAAAGCCACAAAGACCAAAACACCACCGCCAAGCCAAAGCCATCACCTACCGACAGAGACATGCTCAAAATGGGCGCAGTGTACTTGATGCTGTGCGTCACGCTGTAGTCGGTAACATCGTGGATTTTGACGTGCTGATCGAGCGAAGCAGTGAGCAGGCGCTTGCCCTGCGAGTCCAGGCACATGCTGGTGATTGTCTTTTGGTGATTGGAGAAGGTCTGGAGAAGACGACCGCCTGCGAGAACATCCCACACTTTGATCTGGTTGGACCCAGCGGACAGGGCAAGACCACCGCCAGGGAAGAACAGGATTTGCTCGACCGGCGCTCCGTGGTTCATTGACATGGTGCATGAGCCAGCACGAGTGTCCCAGAGCTTGACCATATGGTCATATCCTCCTACAGAGCAATTGGGACAATGCAGATTGGTGTCAATCCAAAAGCAGCCACACGAACAAACCCTCGGGTAAGCAAAACATCCAACAAACAACCAACCAACCAACCAACCAACCAACCAACCAACCAACCAACCAACCAACCAACCAACCAACCAACCAACCAACCAAACAAAACAAACATCCAAAGCCAACCAAACAAAACAAACATCCAAAGCCAACAAAGTCAACGGTGCAATTACCAGTCAACCACACATCCGACGCCACTGGGCTCACAACACCAGCGCGAATGTAATCCGTGTGACCAGTCAGGGCGAGCACCTGTCGCTCGGCCGGAATGTCCCAGCAGCGCACAACAGCATCGTCGCCGGCAGACATGATTTGGTTGTCGTCGGTGGCAAATCGAGTGACATGGACGGCCCGTTGGTGTCCAGCGAATGTGCGCAGGACAGATCGGCTGTTCGGGTCCAAGAGCTGGAAACAAACGACGAGGTTTCTTGTGAGCGACAAAACAAACAAAAAAGAAAAAAACAAAACAACACAACACAAAACAAACAAAAAAAAAATCCTTTCGTTAAAGACTCGAAAAAAACGAGGCATTTACCTGAACCAGGCCAGACTCATCGCCGGCCACAAGGAGCTTGCCATCACGACGGAACGTGCCGCAGTATGCAACGTCTTTGAACCGGGACAGTGTCTTCTTGACCGTGTTGGATTTCTTGCTGTAAATTTGGATCTACACAATGGCAGTCAAGTGAGCTGAGGGAGGGGGCATGGCCACTGCATCTCAGAGTACAGTACATACGCGAGTGGAGCTCGTCACTGCGAAATCCCACGGCGCAGTGGGCGAAAAGTGAATGTGCGAGACGGCCGAGTACTCTTTGACGACCACTGGGAACTGTATTGACAAAGAGCAAAACCAAAAACAGAAACAAGCCAATGTCAAATGTTAGTGGAATGGGTTTTAGCTTGCCGATGATGAGTCGAGGGGGAAGGCGGAGTGGTTGATGCAGAGGGACAGAAGTTGAGGGACATGATCACTTTGGAGCACTTTTTCGTCTCCTTTCTTTGCTAGTACGCTCAATGTGTGGTTGTGTCGACCGAGCTCTGGATCAGCAAAAACCGAATGGCCATGTGCATGTGTATGTGTGTGGATATGGGAGTGTATGAAGCCAGCACACTCGAGTCCATTGTTCGTGTTGCCCGCTCTCTCTCTCTCACGCGCTCCCTCTCCCCACACTCCATGACTCATCTGAAGCATCATGACGCCGATGACGAGGATGATGATGGGCCATGGCTGGGGCGAGTTCTGACTGGAGAGCTGGATGACCTCGCTCTGCCGCCATGTGGATTTTTTTGCATTGTAAGCCCAAAGACACTCGCCTTGAAGCGCTTCCAGTAGCGCGACTCGCTTGTCTCGCGGCGTGCAAGACGAGGGTACTGCTTGGTGGTGACGCCCGGGAAGGCGTTGGTGAAGCCGCTGCCACTGCCGACTGCAGCCTCAGACGCAGCCATCAGCACAGCAGCAGACGCGGATTCAGCCATCACGCTCGAATCCATCATGGCGACGACGACTATGTGAAAGAGGAGTGAGTTTGAGTGAATTTGACAAGTAATCTGACACGTAATAATAATAATAATAACAGGAAAAGAAAAAACCAAACATCATCGACAATCGACAAAATAACAACCTGTGCGACAAGGACGCCAAAACTACAAAGTGTCGTTGATCCAGGACAATGCCACACCGGGTAGCCCCGCAGTTATGCCACGACGAACGAGTTGCTCAATTTCTGATGCCTGACTGGCAGGCGTGTGCCCGTCGGTCGTGGAAGTGGCGATCGTGATGAAAGCCGGGAGTTGCATCCCGTTTGACCGTGCAGCCGCCAACATGTGCGTAACTTGAGAAACCGCCTGCGACAGTGCCGTTTGCTGCATGCAAACATGCGGGTGCACGAGCAACAGTCCCGTTTGGACGAGGTCGTCAACTGAGAAGGAGGGCCAACGGTCCTTGTGAACCGTCTCGAGTTTCTGTTGCTCCATTTGTTGCTGTTGGTGCTGCTGGTGCACGTTTTGCAACAGCTCGTGAAACGACCGCAATACACCAGCAATACACCAGGACCATGGGTTTGGTGCAGATACGACCCGAGAAGCTCACTACCAGCTGCGACAAATCTGTCTTGATTGTCGTGGAATGTCAGCCACGAGACCTCGCTGTCTGGCGGCGTCTGTCCTGCGACACTGTTTGATCTTGAGGGCAGCCTACACAACAGCTGCAATAGCGACGCCAATTTCCGTCGGTAGTCAAAGTAGGCTGCAGTCGAACGGATGGATTCACTATCGACCAATGGCGTTTCCGATATTGCGACGCAGATGGCAGAATCGACTCCGGGTGGGAGAGCCGCCTCAGAGATTAAATCTGCATGCCACACTGCGTTCAGAAACACGCTGGAGAGAACTCGCAAATCCCCATTGAGCGATGCTGGTCTCCGAAATGCCAATTCCTGCAGCCAAGGGTTGGTGGTGGAAAAGTAGTCGAGGTCAATGTCCAAAATCCACGTCGATACGGACGCGTCGGACAGAAATGCATGCTGAGCTGGCACCAGCGGCAGCGCAGCAACACACAGAGCCAGCGTCTTGCAGGAGGGGCCATCGAGTGCCTCAAGCCGCTCGACAGCTGCTCCGTCGTCCACAAAGTAAGGAAGCAGCTGTTCGCCACAATGCACTTTGACAAGTCCAGATATCAGCTCGCGGCCAACGGTAATTGTATATTTGCCATCTGCGATCTGCCTTGCCCAAGGCGGACGAATCCACAGCATGTGCTGTTGTTGTGATGGTAGCCGACAACACAAAAAAGTCAGCTCGTTCCAGATGGTGTTCAAGACATCCATTGCCACTCCTCAGCTTCACACAGCATTAAACAAACCGAGACGTGACCAGCAAAGACTGCCGGCAAGATGAATTCAGCAATGTCGATCTGCTGGTACAACTCGTCTGGCTTGAACACGGTGGCAGCTTGGAGATGATCCGGAATTCCGAGGTCTGGATCTGTCAGTTTTTCAAAGAAGGTGAAGTGGGTGCAAGATGGGTCACGAAGCAAAAAGAAAAAAAAACACCAGCACCCAAAATCTCAGAAAAACCCGTTCGTGGATGTTTACGTGAATCAAAGTGTACGAGTCCAATCTTGCTGAGCGGCAGCTGTCTTGCGCGGATGGCGTTGTGCCAATGCACCAGCGCTCGATCGTGGGCGTCGACAACGACTGCGTCCACCGCGCCAGGCTGGCGACGAGTGCGCTTGCTGGGCCCGGCGGACATGTCGGGAAGGCGAGGATGATGTTTTCAAGTGACAAAATGCAAGACTGAGCCTTGTATTCTGAGAACAATTCGAGCAATTAAAAAAAAAAACACAAACATACTGTAGCACGAAGCGAAATGTCCGAGCAATTCCATTTTGGGTTGTCTGAGACTGTCAGGAGAGCTTTTGCAAGCAGAAACATTCGGTTCCGTCCCTGCGTTGCGCGCTTCGCGTATCCACCTCCGGCGGGTTTTTTTTTCCTTCAAAACGACTAAAAATCCTATGTTGCCCCTTTTCTGAGTTACTGTTTACTTTGACAGCTGAGAAAACAAGATCAGTTCTCCTTTATTTTTATTTTTTATTATTATTATTTTTTTTATTTGTTATCATACAATTCAAACCAAAATGTCTGACGATTCATCCTCATCGGCATCAGCGGCCGCCGCTGGATCTGACCACGGCTTGCAGCAGCAGCAGCAGCAGCAGCAGCAGGTCCAAGAGCAACAGCAGTGGCAGCAGCAGGTCGAGCACGTCGCGTTTGAGGACGTGAGCACGGCGGCGTTTCGCATCCGTGACAAAATCCCGCGGACGGCGCTCGACAAGTCACACGACGGCATGGTCGCAATGACTGGCATGGAGATCTGGTTCAAGAAGGACTTTCTGCTCCAGACAGGAAGGTAAACGAACGACGATCAGCAAGCAACGCAGGCGACAACGGAGAACGAGCAACAGCGAAGCGAACAACAAAACGTAATGGAAATCCCATACAAAAAAAAAAAAAAAAAAACCAAAAAAAAAAAAAAAAAACCAACGATAACCCCATACATACAACAGGCGCTTCAATCTTGGTTTTGTACAACGTGTGCGACGCCGACACACTCACACTTTGGCACACTTTGGCACGCTTTTGGCTCAATAATCATCTTGCATTTCACAAGTTGGGAGAGACTGCGAATATGAAAGCAGGACAGCGAGAAGGAGAAGAAGCCGTGTGCTTGAACTGAAACTGAAGCGCTCCCCTTCTCCTCACACTCACAGTATCACAATGAACCCCTGGGGGTCTCGCCTCACAACAAACAAACAAAACAAAACTCACTTTGGTTTGCGATTTTGATTCACTTTTTGGATTGCTGGATGAATGGAACGAATCGTCGTGCACAGCTTCAAGGAGCGCGGCGCTCGAAACGCACTCAAGTTGCTCTCCGCTGAACAGCGACGGAATGGAGTCATTGCTGCTTCCGCAGGTACGTGTCTCTCTCCCGGATGCAGATGCGCAACATAAGGAGTTGTATTGGCACCACCAATGTGGATTTTTTTTAAAAATAGTTTGATTTGGAGCACTCAGTCTGACTGACTTGACTTGGTTGTCGTGTGTCGCAGGGAATCACGCACTCGCGCTGGCGTACCACGGCAACGACTTGAAAATCCCAGTCACGGTCGTCATGCCGATTCACGCACCGCTCATGAAGGTCGCCAAGTGCAAGAACTTTGGCGCCACAGTCATCATCAAGGGCGAGCACATTGGCGAGTCCAAGGACGTGGCAATGCAGATCGCCAAGGCCCACAACCTCACCTACGTGAACGGCTACGACCACCCCCACATCATTGCTGGGCAAGGGACGATGGGTGTGGAGATTCTCAACGAGATGGAGAACATTGACGCTGTCGTCGTTCCGATTGGCGGTGCTGGCCTCATTGCTGGCGTCGCGCTGGCCATCAAGACAATCCGACCTGAAGTGATGGTTATTGTGAGTGTTGTTGCGCTTGCTGCCTCGGACTCTGGTGGTGTGTGAGGGGGAGGGGAATTGAGGATTGCATGAGGGGCATGAGTTGCTCACTTCAACGACGTCCCCCCCCAAACGCCAAAAATCCACCACCCCCGTCTATTCATTTTTTTATTTAGGGCGTCGAACCCGAGCGCGCTGCGTCGTACACTGCCGCTTTGAAGGCCGGGAAACCCGTGCCGATCGAGATTGGCAGCACACTCGCCGACGGTCTAGCCGTGCCGTGCGTGGGCGCGAACGCCTTCCACTGCGCGCGCAACCGCGTCGACAAGGTGGTCACTGTTAGCGAAAAGTATATTGCCTTGGCTATTTTGCGCCTCGTCGAGCTTGAAAAGGTCGTCGTGGAGGGCGGCGGCGCGGCAGGTCTGGCGGCGTGTCTGCAAGGACTGATGCCCGAGCTCCGCGGCAAGCGGGTGGTTGTCCCACTTTGTGGTGGCAACATTGACACGACAGTGCTCGGCCGCTGCATCGAGCGCGGTCTTGCAGCGGACGGACGCCTGTGCCGATTCATGGTGGTCGTTTCAGACCGCCCCGGCGGCATTGCCAAGTTGGCAGCGCTTCTCACCGAGCTTGGTGTCAGCATCAAGGATATCTTCCACGAGCGGGCGTGGCTTGAATCCGACGTTTTCAGTGTCCAAGTGCGCTGTGTGGTCGAGACTCGCGACCAGGAGCATGCTGAGATTTTGCGGCAGCGACTGGCCGAGCGTTATCCGCTTGTCTGGGGCACTCTTCACGATACCAACAATGCCTTGTTGCTGTAAAACAACTGATTTTTGATGAACTTTTGTCGTTGAACTGATTTTTGATGAACCATTTGTTGTTGTCGTTCTTGTTGAATTGTGGCTGCTACTTTTTTTGAATACACTGCATCTATTGTTTGAGCGTTTCTGACAAAGCACGACACAGTAGAAGGAGCGAGAGAAAGAGAAACGAGAGCCATCCAGGGCATCCAAGCGAATGCGCAGAGAGACTTTACATTGAGACAAACAGCAAAGCAAACCAAGAACAACCCCCACATACACACACAAAGCAACACAAGACAAAACAATCCAGCAGTGCAAGAAAAAAAAACCCCGAAAACGACAACAACAAGTCAAAAAGCAACCCAAATGATCGCGCGTTTAGCTCTTCTGCTTCACAAGCACCACGTATTTGATCTGAATCTGGGAAAGATCGTAGACTACACAGAAATACCAAAAGAAACAAAACAAAAAAAAACGGTTGGTGAGCCACGACCGCAAAGTCAGCCGAAACAGACAAAACACAAAACGTAAAAAAACGATCGCTTACCAATGTACTCGTTGTAATTCAGAAGGTTGACCCACTGCGACAGCTTCTGGTCGTAGTAGTTCTGCTCGCCTGGGATGAGTTGCTCGACTTTGCCAGTGGGAATCGTCACTCCATCCTGCAAAAAACCAATACAACCAAGGTAAGCACAGAAAACAGAAAAGGTTGAAAACAACCACTCGTGCTTCATAAACCCAGCCAACCGTCACCAAGAAAAAGAAGAAAAAAAAGAAACAAGAATCCTGACCTGAGCTGTAACGAGACTCTGCTTTGCGTTTGGCCCGTAATAGCCCAGACCCTTTGTGCTGTTCGTGTTTGGCTGGGCTTTGCTCATGTCGTTGGCTTGCTTGCACTCATACGGCTCGCCGAGCGCAACGTTGCAGAGCAGCAGGCACGCGTACTGTGCCGTCTCCTTGTTTCCAGTACCAATGTGCGAATACCCGAGACTCTTGATGAACATGTCAGCCGTGTAAACGCCTGCGCCAAACATGGCGCCCGTCAGCGGCACGTGGGAAGGCGTGACGAGCAGGCCTTGAGACAAGATTCCCTGTCGAGGGTGGAACAGAATCAGAGTCACTCAGAAAGTGAGCCAATGACTTCCGAGGAGCCTTCTTCCTTTAGAGGAGCCTTCTTCCTTTAGAGGAGCCTTCTTCCTTTGCAAAAAACAACAACAACAACAACAACAACAACAACAACAACAACAACAACAACAACAACAACAACAACAACAACAACAACAACAACAACAACAACAACAACAACAACAACAACAACAACAACAACAACAACAACAACAACAACAACAACAACAAAAACAAACAAACAAAAAAAAACTCCCTAAAAACAAAACCCATCCCTCCTTACCATAAAGTTGGCAATCGACGAGCCGTGCCAAAGCAGCATGTTATTTTTCTTGCGGAGACCCAGGGAGGCAGAGGTAAACCGCTCGCTCTCGCCCTTGCGTGAAATGCGGAAGAGATCGACAAAGTCCAGGCCTTTGAAGGCGCCTTGGGACGTGGCCCGCGCATAGCCCTCAATCGTGGCAAACTCGGCCGTGCTCCTTTCGACGGGCAGAATGGACGCGCCAATCGAGCGGTAAACGTAATCGAGCGGGTGGATTTCGCGGACGCGCAAGTGCGTTGCGGACAAGACCTTTGTCGCAAAGTGCAAATCGGCCAAGCAGGACAACATCTGGTACTTGGTGTTGATGTTTGCCGCAGTGTTCAAGCTGACCAAAGAGTGCGAAGTCGCATGCGGAATGGTCGCGTAGAACTTGGAGTGCAAAAAAAGCACAAGACCAGCCAGGACAAAGTCAGTCGTGCGCCACCAGACAAAGGCAAGGCAACAGCCCCCCTTGTTGTGCAACCACCATACCTCATTGCTCAGGTCTGTCACTTCCGACTCGAGTGCCTTGCGAGCCTTTGTGGCTTCAGAAATGTTGGCAGTTGAGGCCTGAGTGTCTTCAATCTTGGCGACAATCTCCGCAACCTAGACAAAACAACCAAAGGAAGAAACAAGAAAGAAAACAAAAAGCGAATCGAGTCAAACAAGAAAACCAAATTTACAAACAAGCAAGAAAACAAAAAAAGAAAGCAAGTTCGACATGCCAAACCTTGCTCAAAATGTCAAAACCAGCCTTCAACGTCTCGGCGCTCAGGTTGCCCAGAGTGAGACGCGCGTTGGCATTCTTGAGCGTGCTCTGAAGGGCTTCGACGTCGCAGAACAGAGTCAGCAGGTGCTGAACGCGCGCGTCGAGGGTCGAGGCGGGGGTTTCGGGATGGGTCAGGTTGAGCGGGGTCAGGACGTCCTTGTACTTGTTCGAGGCCGCGGCTGTCACAACCATATTGTACTTGCCAGACTTGCGCTCAAACTCGCTGCGTTGGTCCCATGCATTGCCCGTTTTGCTCTTGAAAACCTTGCAAAACTCGGCAACAGCAGAGTCTCGATCCGGGTGGGGAGAGCGCTGGAACTGGCCCGTTTCGCCAATGCGACCCCAGCGCGTCCACAAAATGTACGCGTTCTGGGCGCGGTTGTGGATGACTTGCATGCGGTAAAAGTCGTTTTGCCCATAGCTTCCGTACGTAATGTTGGTCTTGTTGAGCGTCACATCGTACGACGAGCCAGCAGCGTCAGTCAACACCTGTCCAGTAGCACGGAAACCACTGACAGCGTCCACCTTGGCTGGTTTGGGCTTGTCCTCGCTTTCGTCATCCGTCTTGGCGCCGCCGTCGTCGTCGCCCTCTTCCTCCACATCGTCCTCCTCGGTATCGCTCGTGGCCATGGGCACCGCGCCGCCGCCATTGTTGCCGCCGTTGCTGCCCAGCTTCATCTTGCGCGCCTTCAGCCGGGCGAGCTTCTTGCGCGTCTCGGCACGGCGTTGCTCGCGACGCTTGGCAATGGCGCCCAGAATCTCGTCGCGCGCCTTGGTGGCGTCGGCCTCCAAGTCCACCGGTGCGGGAAGCAAGCGCGCCTCCTCGCTGGCAATCTTTTGGCGACGGGCCTGCTCTTGCGATTCCGCCGCACTCACTCCACGTGCCAGGGCAGGAGCGGTGCCTCCGAGCGCCGCCAGCTTGGCGGACATGGTGCCCGACGCTTGCAACTTGGCCAGATGCGCAGGCGTGTTGCCGTCCGCGTCTGCCGCGTTCAGATTGGCACCGTGCTTGGCCAGCAGCGCGAGCAGGTCGCCATTCTCGAACGTTGCAAACGGACGTGATTGGACGGTGTGGTGGACGACAGTGCGGCCCTTGCGATCCTGGGCGTTGATGGCGGCGACTGCCAGCTTGCTCGCGGCCAACAGAGCTGCAGTCGAGCTGGCCGAGTCGCTCGTCGTCGTTGTCGTCGTTGTGTCCATTGCAATCACAGCAGCAGCAGCAGCGCTGGTGGAGGAGCCGACGACACCTGACGATGATGACGATGACGCCGTCGCCGCCGCCGCCACCGCCGTCGCCGTCGCTGCTCCACCCTCAAGCAGCAGCAGAGCAGCCTCGAGCGAGTTGGTGAATGCGGCACCCATCAGGGCAGTCGTGCCAAATCGAGACTCGGCCAAGGCGGGATTGGTGCCAGGCCGGGCGAGAAGAACGCGCAGCAGGGGCAGACTACGCCGCATCACCGCACGCACCACCGGGACGTGATCCCGATCGGGCGAGGTGAAGTTGACAGCAGCGTGGCCATCGTGCAGCAGCGATGCGACGGTCAAAAACATTGGCGAGTTCTCTTCAACGACCGCCTTGACAACAGGGGCGGGAGGCGGCTGGCCCCACTGCTGGCGACGATTCGCCGACCGAGCAATGTTCACATCGACCGCGTTTGGATCCGTGTAGGCGTCATGCAGACGGTCGGCCTCGTCGTCCACGTCGGCAACAGTCTCATCAGCTCGGGCGGGCAGCGCTGTAGAGGCCGCCGCGGCCGCCTTCGCCTTGGAGGAAGCGCCAGTGGTCGCGGTGGTGGCCTCCTTGAGCAGCTTGCGCGCCTGGGCAGCCGCGCGATGCTTGCTGGAGTGGATGGCCAGCGTGAGCGGCGTGTGTCCCATGGCATTAGTGTCATCGGCTTTGGCGCCTCCTCGCGTCAGCAGCCACTTGACCAAGCCATAGTGGTGGAACTGGCAGGCATAAAACAGCGGCGTGTTGCCCTTGTCATCGCGCGCAACTGGACTGACTCCGCGCGCCAGCAGGTCTTCTGCAATCTGGTCGACAAAGTGCTGCGCAAACTTGCGCTCTTCGTCCTCGTCGCGCGACCAGAACATGCCGAGAATGTGGAAGAGGTTGCGCTTGTGCGCATCCAGCCCAAGACACGCCTTGGGTGCAGACTTGCTGAGCAAGGTCACCACGAGTGGGAACTTGGTGGACGTGAGGGCGTCGCCGACAGCGGTGAGCACATCCACGCCTTGGTCCATCATGAGGTACGCCAGACCCATAAAGCCGCACGACACCACCCACTTGAAGGACGACTGGGGATGCTTGCCGGGCAGGTACAGCGAATGATGAATGTCAGCGCCTTTGGTAATCAACGTGACGGCATAGTTGCTCTGACGGTTGATCAGAGCCATCTGCAGCGGAGTGTTGCCGTCCGCGTCCTCCGCGTCGACGCGTGCCCCGCGCTGCAGCAGGTACATTGTCGAGATGATGGCGCCGCTATGCGCAGCGAGGTGCAAGGGCGTGCGTCCAAAGACATCGGCAATGCCAACCGCCAGCGAGGAAGCAGTGCAGAAATCGGAAACGAGCTCGATGGGATCGTTCGATTTCACAGCAACGTCCTTCCTGTTGTTTTCGTTGTCGTCGTCATTGTTTCCAAAGCCAAACCTCGCGAAGTTTTGCTGCTGCTGCTGCTGCTGATCGTTAGCATTGTCCTGCCTTGCGTTCGGATCGGCAAACAGATTTTTGCGGAGCCGAACATCGACAAAGGCAATGTGCAACGCCGTGCGGCCAAACCGATCCACGGCGTTCAAGTCCGCGCCGGCACCCAAGAGCAGCCGCTGCATTCTAAAGCCCAGATTGACATCCTTTTTGCACTCTGTGACGGTGTGAATGAGCGGCGTGCGACCTTTGCGGTCGGTCAGGTTTGGATTGGCGCCAGCCTCGAGCAGCAGCTGGACCGTGTCCGTGCTGATGCCCGCACGACGAATGGCGCGAATCAGGGGAGTCAGTTCGCTGACGAGCTCTTGCGTGTCCAACAGACACAACCGCTTGCCTGTCTCAGGATGGCGCGCGCTCAAAAGCGCCTTCACGGACGCTGCCGACCCTGCGTTTGCGGCCAACGCCAGAGGCGTGCGACCAAACGCATCACTGCGATTGACGGTGGCCGCGCTCGCATGCTTGAGGAGAAGCTCGACCAACGGGGCATTGTGACGGGAGGCGCAGGCAAAGTGCAGGGCAGTCTTGCCGCAATCCGGCTGCTTGCGCCGCTCCTTGGCCACCAGCGAGCGCGAAACTGCCTGCGATGCCACGGCGGCGGACGACGCGTCAGTGCCATTTTTGCTGCCGGTCGCGCTCGACGACGACGACGACGACGACGACGACGACGACACGACCCGTCGCACTTTAAAGCGGCCAACCGTCCCGGAATACTCGTCGTCCGAATCCATTTCCTGCGCGTCCGAGTCGGAATCAGACTCGTCCTCGGACGAAGAGTTTTGCAGCTGTTGCTGCCAGTTGTATCGCCCGGTGTTTGGCTGCAGGCTGGCGACCAGCTTGCGCGTGTCGGGCACCACTTCATCGCCCTGAGCGTCGTCCTTTTCGAGTTCGTCGTCGCTCTCCTCGAAATACTCGTCGTCGCTGTGAGCAACCTTGCCCGCCGCGCGGAGTGCAGCAAGAGCCTGGGCCCGCTGGTATTGGTTGGGGTGGCTGACTTCGATCTGGGCCTTGGTCGCCTGGCGATGCATGGCGCGATCGTCCTTGGACAGGCGATGCACATGCGCGTCCAAGCTGCACTGGACCACCTGGAGGAAGCTCTCAATAAACGCACAAGCCTTGGTGGCGTCGAGGGCGGTGGGCGAGACGATGGGAGCGACAGCAGCAGGCGTTTCGTCCTTTGCCTTGTTGTTGTTGTTGTTGGATTTGGCGTTGTTGTTGTTATTGGAGTTGGCCAAGCTGTCGCCCTTTTTGGCGCCAACTTCGTCTTCGTTTTCTGTCGAGGAATCTGCATCCGTCGCGTCCTCATCTTCACCAGCAGCAGCAGTCGCTCCAACAACACCACCAGCAGCCGCCGCCGACGTTGACGTTGACAATGTTGACGGCTCATCTGGCTCACCGCCGTCCTCGTCCTCGTGCTGCTCGGCCTGCAGCTTTGCCTTCTCGGCAGCGTCACGAGTGGCCTGCTCTTTGGCAACATAGTCTGCGAGCGCTTCGGCACTGAGATTGGCCACCTTCAAGAAGCGCATCAGCGGCGTCAGACCAAACCCATCCGTGTCGTTGGCCACCGCGAGCAGCTGGCTGGCGGGTCGCTGGGCAAGCGCATGCCAGATCAATGCAATGTCGCTCGTGACGGCCTGGTCGACCAGGGAGTGGAGAATGTTGCCGTCGGTGGCATCGCGACCCGTCAGAGCGCAGCCGCGCTCAATCAGACGCACGGCCAGCGCAGTGTTGCCACGAGACAGCGCAGAAATCAAGGGCGTGGCGCCAGCCAGGTTGGCCAGGTTGATGTCCGCACCGGCGTCGAGCAGCGCGGAAGCCGTGTCGGCATCGTTGGCGTTCGGCTCGCTCGCAGCGAGGAGGTGCAGCGCAGAGTTGCCGTTCGAGTCGACGGCGGTGACATCGGCGTTGCGACTGATGAGGAACTTGATTTGGCGAAGCGACGCGTCCGTCTTGGTGTCGAACGTGTGGTGGAGCATTGTCTGGCCAGAGCTGTCCTTGGCGTTGACGTCGACGCCGTCGCGCTGCAGGAGGTAGTCGACAATCTTTGTGTGCCCTTTGAGGCCCGCAATGCCGAGGGGCGTTGTCTTCCACGCGTTCGGCGTGTTGACATCCACCCCAACCCACTCGACCAGCAAGCGCACGCAGTCGATAAAGCCGTACGCCGCCGCATACGACAATGGCGTGTTGTCGGACGTGTCCAGCGCGGTCGGATCCGCGCCGTGGCGCAGCAGCACTTGGACGATGGCTGCGTGGCCATTCTTGAGCGCATGCACGAGCGGGGTGCGCTTCCACTTGTCCTCGGTGTCGACAGCGGCCTTCTGCTGGAGAAGAAACTCGACCATGTCGAGCCGGCCGAGCCGGGCAGCGTACGACAGTGGCGTTTGCTTGTCGCGATCAGCCACGTCGACCTGGGCGCCGCCAGCCACAAGCGCCTTCAGGGTGTCCAGGTTGCTGTACACGGCAAAGTGCATTGCGGACTGCTTGTTCTTGGTCAGGTACGTGCCGTCAAAGCGCGTGGCGCCGGGCGTCGCATTCATGGCCGCAATCAGGATGGGAATGTTGTGCGACGCACCGGCTTTGGCGGCAAGCTCGAGCGGGCGCAGGCCAAAGCGGTCCATGGCAGTCGGGTTGACGTGGTTGGCCAGGATGTACTTGAGCGCGGCCGGCGACGAGGAAACGGCCGCAAAAAAGATGGGCCCGCGCGTGTTGCGGTCCTCGGCGTTGCGCAGGTGCCCAGCCTCCGTGTACAGCGTCTCAAAGTACTTGGTGGAGTACGGATTGAGCGTCGCGAGGTGGATGGGCGTGATTTGGTTGTTCCACGCCGGCTTCTTTTGGATTTGCTGCTGGCGGTACGAGGTGAAGTCTCTGGTGCCGTCCAGCTTGAGCGCCTCGAGGTGGAGGTGGTTGAAGCCCCAGCCACCGTCGCGGAAGGCGCCAGGCACGCTCTTGACGTCCATGAGCCCCTCGATAATGTGCGCGGCAACGCGATGGTTGCCTGCCTCGCAGGCCTCGTAAATGCCAAAGTTGCCGCAGTAGTTGGTAAAGTCCTTCATTTCGAGCGAGACAAGGTCAATAATCTCGGGCGTCGTGTGGGGCGAGCGCAGGATGGTCCGGAAGAAGATGTGCGCGCAGTAGGACGACTGCTGGTTGACAGGGTCGCTGCTGCTCCACATTGCAAAGGCGTTGTTGCCCTGCTTGTTGCCGCGAGCCGCGCCCACCGCGCGCCCATGGTAGTTGCTCATCTCGGACTGCCCACCCGTGTCGTGCTGCGAAAAGAGCTTGTCCGGCTCAACCGTGACGCGCCCGGTCTTGTCGCTGCCGCCGCCATAGTAGCGGTACCGGTTGGGCTTGGGGTGGGTTTTGATGTCTTGGATGAGCATCTTGAGCGCGACGAGGTCGTTGCGCAGCACTGCAGTGACGACGGCATCGCGCAGCACGTCCGCGCTCTGCTGGGTCTCGGGCGACGGGACGTTCGCCACATCGTCCAGCATCTGCTTGAGCAAGTCGTGCGCGCCAAGCTCGGCGATGCGGATGGTCTCCCGCGCCGTGCAGAGTGCGCAGCACGACGTGTCGTACGACATGCGATCGTGCGGGATGGTCGTAAAGCTGGCAGCGTTCGAGGCGCCGGCGATCGCGGCCTGGAGCTTTGGCGGCCTTGTCAAATCGAGCGCGGGCTTGGTTTCAAATTCGGCCAAGCGAGCGTTCAATCCAGCCGCTTGCTTGGCCTTTTTTCCACGTCCAGTGGCAGTGGCTGTGGCGGCGGCGGGTTTGGCACCCTTGCCACCAACAGCACGTCCACGACCAGTCGCGCCTCGACCGCGACCTCCTCCTCTGCCAACCGCGCGACCACGTCCGTCGTTGTTGTCGTCGTCGTCGTCGTCATTGCCATCGTCGGCATCATCATCACCATCATCCTGTTCGTCTGCAGACGCGTCCGAATCTTGCTGCTTTCGGGCTGACTTTCGACCAACAGATGAAGCAGTAGCAGCAGCACGGCCTCGACCACGGCCGCGACCTCGCCCGGCGGCAGTCGACTTGCCGCGTCCTGCAGCCTTGGATGCGCGACTGCCATGCTCGTCATCGTCATCATGATTGTCGTCGCTGCGAGATTCGTCATCCTCGGTGGATTCCGACGCGCGCGCCAGCTTGCTCGGGTGCGACGCAGCAGCCCTCCTCGGCCTGCCCGACGGAGACGCGACAGCAGCAGCAGCAGCAGCAGCAGATTGAGCAGCAGCAGCAGCAGCAGATTGAGCAGCGGTAGCAGCAGAGTCAGAGGTGTGATCGTTGTCCGACTCTGCCTTGCGCTTGCGGCCTCGCGACACCGCGCTCGTTGTCGCTGTCGTCGCTTCCTCGTCGTCGCTCTCGCTGTCCGCTGCAGTCGCCTTCGCAGGCTTGCGTCCACCGCGCTTCGTTGCTGTCAAAACGCAGATCAAAGCCCAAAAAAAGCAATTGTAAAAAAAAAAAATAATAAAAATCAATTCCAAATTCTGCAATTGTTGCAAGCAAAACAAAGGAAAAAAAAAAAAAAAAAAAACCAAAAACAAAAAATCGAATCGCATTGTTGGGATTTTCAATATGCATGTTGAGAGACAAACCTGGTGCAGGAGGAGCAGCAGCAGCAGCAGATGCGGATGCGAGCGCGGGTTTCTTGCGGTCGGCAGCGTCTTCGTCCGACAGCTGGGCTGCAGTGGCCGTTCGACGCACCATGGTGTGAAACGAAAAAAAAAAAAGAAGAAAAAAAAAGAAAAAAAAAAAAAAAAAAAAAAAGAGTGAATCTCAAAACTAAGACAAGGAATGAGTAAAATCAATGTATTTCACAACTGGCTTGGAAAACGCACAGGGGGGGGGGGATAATTAGCGAATAAGAGTACAAGTACAAGGAAAGGAAAAAAAAAACCCCAATAAAACAATCAAAAAACCATGAAGCGGGAAAATCGAAGAAGCGGCAGGTACAGTACACACAGGCGAAAAGAACGAATTGTTCTTGTCTAGTCCGAGACATTGGGAGAGCGGCATGGCGACACGTTGGGCGGAGTGGTCGGCGGCGTCAACATGAAGGCCGACGCTGTCTGCGGGCTCTCGACAAAGCGCTTGAGGAAGTTGAGCGAGGACTCGAACTCGCTGTCTGCCACTGTGCACGAGTAGTCAAGCTCTGCAAGAATGGCCATCTCAAAGTCGCCCAGCTCGCCGACAGTGTAGAACTTGGTCGCGTGCGACCAGTATCGCAGGTCATAGTCGAGGCCAACCGTGCCGACATCGTACAGGTACTTTTCGGCGGTGATGAGCGCGGCCATGAAGAGCTCGTGTGGGTGCTGGAAGAAGGCCGAGCGCGCAAACGGCTGCGGGCCTCCACGCGCCAGCCCAGACTTGGTCATGTTGGCTGCTCGCCGTGCGGCCGCGGTGGTCGATGTCCGCCCGACAGCTGCATCGCCTTGGATTCGGAACATGTAAATGATGGCCACGAGCACGGAGGCGAACGAGACGTTCGACCGCCGCAAAACACCGCGAATAAAGACCGACAGCTCTGGGATTGCCTCGTCTTCAGAGTCCGATGCGACGAGTGGTGGGCTGCTCGGTGGTGACTCCAGCAGCTGCGCTTGCTCGGATGGCTGCTCGTCTTGGTGTTGTTCTGATTCTTCTGCGGCGCGTTTGTGCATCAATGCGGTCGCGTTTCCAGCGTCGATAAAGCTTGCGACAATGTCCGACACGGGGCCTACAACAACACAAAAGCGAAAGAGCATGTTGGTGTGAGTTGATTTGCTCCATGATCTTGATTGTTGTTGTAAGATTCGAAATCAGCACGTTTTTTTTTTTTTTTTTTTTTTTTGTTTTTTTGCCGTTGTTTTGTTTTGATTGTCAAACAAAGAATTTTGTGTTTGTTTTTGTTTGTGTGTGTTTGTTTTTGTTATTGCGAATTTCACTTTTTTTTCACCTTTTTTCACTTTTTTTTTTTCGACTACCGCTCCTCTCAATGTTTCGCAAGCCAAGCCCTATTTGTCTCGCACTTGTTGAACACGAACGTGACTCTCGGACGTTGCTCAACTTCTCCCCTCATCATTGTTCAACAAACAACAAACAACAAACAGCAACCAACCACGTCTGTTGTTCATCAATCACCGTGTTTTTGCCGATAACCCAACACGGTCGATTGTTGATTGCTGATACATAGTTTTTGCAATCTTGATCAACTTTCCCGCGCTTTTTTTTTTTTGTTTATTTTTGATTCGGGATTTTTCGCCGCTGTTTTTTTTTTTTTTTCTTTGTTTCCCCGTCGCTTTCCTCCCTCCATCGCAATACCAAACCCCACACAGAAAAGCACTTTGAAAACTCAGCACAAACGAGATATTGTCGAAAAGTGCACAAAAAGCCAAATAGCCAAATAGCCCAAAAGCCAAAAAGCCAAAAAGGAAAAATATCGGTCGTTCCACGAAAGGAAAATCTGGCCGATGATGCTCCTGATGGAATCAAATCAAAGTCATAGGAAATAAAAACAATAAAAAAAACCTCCATAAAATGAAAAATCGTGCGAGATCGTTGAGCTGAAAGAAAGCAGGAGCAGCATCAGCGTCAAAGGAGGAAGAGGAGGTGGAGGTGGGGGTGGACTTGGAGGGAGAGAGGGAGGGAGAGAGAGAGACGCGACAAGAGAGACAGCGAAGGACGGATGTTCGCATGATTGCATTCTCAGCGCTGTTTCACCTCATGGCTTTTTCTCGTGTGTCCCCATCATGCGTCTCGTCCTGGAACTACACACACACAGGCACCAACACTTGCTAAATACACTCCATTCAACAAGAGATTCAGGTATTGTTGGTTTGGTGATCCAACAGACAATACAAATAAAAAAACCCGCTTCTTTGTCAGCGAGAATGTAAACCTCGTGGAAAATTCACCAAGGAAAGAAAAAAAAAAGGAACAGCAGCAGCAGGGGACAGAGCGAGAGAAGGACACCCAAACACAGAGGGAGAGAGAGGATGGTGGTGGTGGTGGTGGTGGGGGGTGAGGGTTGGGGAGATGGCAAGCGCAGTAGGAGACAGCAAAAAGACTCACCGACAAGGTCGCGGGGCACGGTCAGCGGTTCTTCAATCACCTGCGGTTCGTTGACCTTGCCGAGGAGCATGGACGACGGGCGCCGCCGCAGCTCAAAGCGGAATTCGCTGAGAAAGACGCCCAGCCGCATGAGGATGGCGCGCTGCTGTGCTTGCGAGGTCGCCAGCGACGACGAGGGAGGGGCACATGCGCCACTGAATCGCCGCTCCCGTCGCTGCTGTGCCGAATCGAGCAGTGATGCTGCTCCTGCTGCTGCGGACGGTCGCTGAAGATGCTGCTGCTGCTGCTGTTGCTCGACCATGGTGGCCGCAAAATCGACGAGCTGCTGCTCGCGAGACTGTGTCAGGACGCTCATTGTTGAGAAGGAAAATGACCGAAAGAAAAAAAAAAAAAAGAAAAAAAAAAGTAGGTTCTGCCAAAAAGATTTCAAAAAAAAAAAGGGATTTTGATCTTTTTGAAATGAAAAAAAAAAAAAAAAGGGCGGGATTTGTTTCGTTAACGTCTGTTGCGTTGAGGTCGGACAAAGCCCAGTGAGTGAGAGAGAGAGAGAGAAAGAGAGAGAGAGAGAGAGAGACTTCTTGAGTTTGAAATGCAAACAGCAAGAGACACTTGAAGGGAAGACCGCGACGGAAGACGAGAGGGAAGTGACCGAACGGCGATGTGCGATAGAGGCAGACTAAAAATAATAAGAAGGTGTGAATGGATGACTGGTTTCTTTTGTACGTCCAGCACGAAAATGCAAACGAACGGTAATCGAAAATGAAATAAGACTGAGGCGCAATCGAAATAATAATAATAAAACAAAAGCAGAGCAGAACGAACGAACGAACGAAAGGGGCGCTTCCAGATGTCGAGCCTTCTTGACATCAACCCTTTTCCCCCCCCCTCCCCCGCTCCCCTGCTCTGCTTGCGTGCGTTGAGTGTTGGTTGTCGACTGTGGTGGGTTTGCGGTTTTTGTTTTTTTTGTTTTGTTTGGCTTTTGTTTGCAAAAAGAACTCAAAGATCTGACAGCAGCGGGTTCTTTGAAGACGCGGTTCGTTTCCCACAAAAAATGCCATCCCACCCAGTTCGCAAACAAAACCGCGATTTCAATGGCAAGCTTATTTCCTTTCAAGCGACATTTGCTTGTCTGTGTCACCACAGCGCAGTGCCATCGTTTGCTTCTCTGCGTTTCACACGATTTTATTTTATTTTTTATTATTATTATTTTTTTTTTGTTCGCGTTCTTTTGTGCTCGGCTGTTTCCAAGGTGCGCCATGCCATTGAACATTGCATTGTTCGCACGGCTGGTCGTCACGTCCATGCACCCACTGTGCCGCTGATTCCAGCTCTGCAACCACGTTGTGGCTTGTTCCTACCAAAAATTCTTGAGGTATCGTCCGATCCCGGCGGTTTCAGAAGAGGGGGGTTCGGTCGAACTGGTCCGTTGTTTTTGCGGGTTCTTGTTGGTTTTGTTTTGTTTTTGTACATCCGTCAAACCTGCGCTGCGCCCGACACCTGGCAACAAATCCGCTCTATAAATCCTCACGTCCCAGCTTGCGTGTTTGAGGGAGCGCAGGGCGACGGCAAAGGCAAGAGCGCGGATTTGGGCGGCAACCAGCACCGGTATTTAAAGTCCCATTTCGATTATCAAATCTTTGGATCCCGCCCTCGATACCACGCACGTACAGCAGCAAGGTTATCAGCAACACAGGGGCTGAGGCCGTGCTTTTGTCGACCTTCATGAGCTGCATCGGCCGACAAGCCTCTCCAAACAAAATGGCCGAACCGCAGAACAAAAAAACCTGAGTCATCGATTCTGAAAAATCAAAAACAGCGAGAAGGGGGGCGGGCATTCCGTCCCGCCCTAGGTGGGAGCGGCGACCGGCAGGATAAATGACAGCGATGTCTGTACTGTAGATCTATCCCTTAAATTACACTATTCTCGTTTCATGCCGGGTCTGAGGAGCTTTCTTACCTTCTTTGATTTGTGCGTGTCATTCGGTACGTCACTGCGGAAATGAGGGCAGGATTCCTTGCGCTCTTTCTTTCTCACCAGGAGGCGCATCAACAACTTTGATTTTCTACCATGCTGCTTGCGTTCATCTCCAAGAATTTATGCAGTTTCGTTTCGAGCTTGTTTCAATCGGTGTTGTTTCGCATTTTTTGTTTTCTCGTTTTGTTCTTCGTTTTTTTTTTCTCATTTTCCCTCTTCTCCCTTCAGATGGCCTCCAGTTCCAACTCGGCACACCCCGCAGCTGCAGCGGCTGGCTTATCTCCGTCTGACTCGTCTGCTGCCTCCGAGGAGGACGACTTCTTGAAACGCTTCGAGTCTTTCTCGCTTGCACTGCGCCCTGCCAAGCCTGCGCCTCCGCCGCTCGACCCTGCGGATGTCATGCGCAAGTACGATGAGCTGGCTAAAGCTGTGGCCAACCTCTCACTCAAGGAGGTGAAGACAGATGTCGAGGGCGTCGTCGAGAAGGTCAAGCCGCTTTACACCGCGGTTGGAGTGGTGAACGACTATATCGACTACGCGTTGACCATGTTTCCCACCCTGACCCCGATGTCAGCCCAGTTTTGTCTCGATTCCATTCAGAGACCCGTCAAAACCTACCGCAAGGAGGTTGAAGGTACGAACTCGCGCTTGGCCAAGACATTTTTTTTAACAAAAAAAGAAAAAAAAAAGAAGAAGAAAAAAAGGCGCCAAAAACAGCTGAGAAGTCCAAAAACTAACCTGTTGATTTGCCGCTTCTCCCTCCGTTACAGCCCACCTTAAAGCCCGCCTGGCCGAGTCACTCCAACCAATGATTGCGGCCAAGTTAATGCATCCACATGCAAGCAAGGACCATAAACCAGCCACGTGTGAGCAGGCCGCCGAACCATTTGGGTGCTTTGAGCTCAACCTTGCCGAGCGGCCGACATTTGCAGAGTGTGGCCATGCGAACTCTGAGGCATCTGTGCATCTTGACGTGCACTCGACTCTGAAAACCATCAATTTGAGTCTTGTTTTACCTATCAAAATGCGGGCAGAATGGCCTCATCCTTCGACAACAACAGCTGACGACGCTGCCTCATCTGATACTCCTTCATCCGCTGCTACATCAGACGCTGCTCCGTCGGACGCTGCTGCCGTTCGCGCAGGGAAAGGCAGGCAACCGGCATCTGCTGATCCTTCATCCGCCTCTTCGTCGCCTGCTCCATCTGTTACGAGCCAAAAGAAGGGCAAGCAAGCGCACGACAGGGTCTCCTGCCCCTGCGACTGCCGCTTCGGCACCTGCCATCCGACCGAATTTTGTCATCACAACCATGAACGGACAGCCGCTACTCGTGGTTGAAGTCAAGTGCCCGACGACCCACCGGGTCAAAGGCATGTATGTCTACAAAGGTGGGGATTTGGAGCCCCGCGAAGTGCCGGACAACAACCCCGATCCGGATGCTGTCAAGCACAATACAACCCTCGGGCACCTGCAAGGCCAGCTGTACGACTACCTGCGCTCGTTTCACAAGGACTTGGGCATGGTGCCGTACTTTGGCATCCTCACGACGTACCACGAGTGGGCAGTTTACTGGCTCGCCGACGACATGGAACAACACCTTCAAGACACTCCCTCCTGCACGACCGAGTGCGCGACTGTTTCGGACGTCGGCGAGTTCAAGAAGATCATTCTTGAACTCGAGAGACGAGCAACCGCCACGACAGACGCGCAGTGGCCATCGCTCAAAGATGTTCCCACGTTTGGCGACGTGTACAAACCAGCAACAACTTCAGCGAAGGTGTTTCAACAAGGCGAAGCGACGCGCCGCCTCATCCGCACGCGCGTGTTCAAGTGGAACGATCCCGACCTCGTCAACGTGTTGCAGAACGTCATTTTCAAGGCCTATCACCTGTCGCAACTGCGCTTCCACCCTCATTTCGGTGAAAGCTCCTCGTGCCTACTCTACAGTAACAACCAGCTTACACAGACCAGAACGCATGGCCGCGTTCAGTTGGACTTCAACACCTTCTCCAACAAGGTCGTTCGATCTGGGTACATTTTTGGAGGCCCAAAGCCGACCAACGTTTACTGCTTTGTTGACCTCGGTCGCGGACGTGACGGCCATGCATGGCTTGCGAGCCCGTACACCAAACTGAACCACGGTGTCTGTGTCCTGAAGGTGCGCAATCCGCGCGTCACATCGTCATTGTCCGCAACAGGAGAGGCGGCGCTTTGGCGCGAGATCTGGGGATCCCGCCACAAAAACACGCTAAATGCAAATCCTTTCCTTGCGACCCACAGCGTTAATGATGCCATTTACATGCCATACCTCAGGATGATCATGTCCGGCTTTGCGAGGATGAGGAACGTCGTCCCATTCTGGTTGCAGCCGCGCGTGCAGTTGAACACATGGCTTCGCTTGGCTACCGACACAAAGACGTGCGCTGGCGTCACGTCGGTATCTACCGTATCATGGGCGACGACACGTTGTATGCGGTGCTGATCGACTTGTCCGATGTGGAAAAGGTCTCCGACAAAGCCGAAGCCAGAAAAGGCATGCTCGCGAAACTTGACATTGACGAAAGCCTCTTAGAATAGGCAAACCCGACAAAGCCGATCAAGCCCAAAAAGAATTGAGACAGTTCTTTATTCCTTTGTTGTTGTTGTGTCTACATCATCCCTTTGATGCGTGTGTGTGTGTGTGTGTGTGTGTGTGTTTGAATGAATCCACGAGTGTGTCCGCCACCCAACCTCTTCAACCAATAAACGATTTCCTTCTCAGAAGGCAATACATTCCTTGATTTCACCACCTGCAGCTGGCTCGTAAAGTAGGCCGTTCTTGGGATGCCACTTATCGCATACATTGACGAGACTTGTGTTGCCGATGTGTCAATGCCGCTGAGCAACTGTTACGCTATCAATGCCCACAAAAGGCTTGGCTCAACCCTGAGATGCTGACTCATTATTTGACGTGCAACTCATCTCAGAAACTCTGGTTGTCGGGATTTGTCATTGTGTTCGTCGCGAAACCTCAACCAAAGCTCCGACTCGCATTCAGAATCAGCCACACATCAATCCACTGCCTGTTCGATTTCAAAATCAAAGCAATCCATTACTCCCACTTCTTTTTTGTTTCTCAGTTCTCATTCTCATGGAAGAGTCGCTCTACGACGAGTTCGGCAACTACGTTGGCCCCGAGCTGGACGACGAGGACGATCAGAACGGCGCGCCGACCGGCTTCCAGTACCACGGCGCTGCCTCTGCTGGCACCTCTGGCTACGACGATGGCGACGACGACGACAGCAATGCGCGTGTCATCCAGATGCGCGGCACGGACGTCCGCGGCTGGGAGGAGGACGACGAGGCGGATCAGCAACGACGTCCACGCGACTATCTCGAGACGGACGACGCCGACGCCCCGCAGCCCATGGCCACCGATCGCCGTATGCTACATCCCGCGTTGTTGAAAGCGTCGCAGCCTGGTTGCTGCTTGGGGGGGGGGCACTGAGCTGGGGCGTTTTGCTCGAGCTTTTTTTTTTTTTTTTTTTTTTGCGATCGCTCACTTTTTGGCGCCTTTTTCCTTCTTCTTGTGCTTCTGACGTTCTTCCGACAGCAATCACGACTGCGATCGTGCTGCACGAGGACAAAAAGTACTACCCATCGGCGAGCGAGATCTACGGCCCGGACGTCGAGACGATCGTGCAGGAGGAGGACACGCAGGCGCTCTCTGAGCCCATTGTCGCGCCAATCCGCAAGAAGCAGGTCGTCGTGATGGAGAGCGACCTGCCATTCACGTCCTACAACAAGACGTGCGTTATCGTGTTACAAAGCGGGGGGGGGGAGGAGGAGGAGGAGGCGGCGGATGTGATTTGTGATGGTGGAAAAGACGTGTTCTCATCGTCGTTGTTGTACACTCATCCTCAATCCCCATTCGACTGTGTGCTTTCGACTCGGGTGCGTGCTCCTGCAGGTTTATGGCAGAGCTCGCGTCCAAGCCAGAGTTTGTGCGCAACGTGGCAGTGATTGGCCACCTGCATCACGGCAAGACCACCTTGTTTGACCGCCTGATTGAGCCGACGCACGGCGTTGAATGGAACGACGAGCAGGATGTGCGATACACAGACACGCTTTATCTCGAGCAGCAGCGCGGGTTGAGCATCAAATCCACGCCAATGTCGCTCGTCATGCCAAACAGCAAGGGCAAATCATACCTCCTCCACCTGATTGACACTCCAGGACACGCCAACTTTTACGACGAGGCTGTTGCCGCCATGCGTCTTGCTGACGGTGTTCTTCTCGTCGTCGATGCCGTGGAGGGTGTACGTGACACTGGGCGATTTTGTTGGTTGCTGGTTTGTTCAAACGCGAGCAAGGGGCGTTGAATCTCACTTGTATCCCCTCTCTCTCTCTCTCCCTCTCTCTCTCTCTCTCTCTCTCTCTCTCCCTCTCTTTCGCATCACTCTCCACAGGTCATGCTCCAGACGGAACGGCTTTTGCGACATGCCGTGCAAGAGCGCCTTCCCATCACTCTGTGCGTGAACAAGATTGATCGCCTGGTGCTGGAACTCAAGCTCCCTCCGATGGACGCCTACCACAAGCTCAAGCACACCATCGACGAAGTCAACTCGTTGATCGGCTCGATTGCGCTGCAAACACTCACCGCCGTCCAGCCCGCCTCGCGCAAGGTGGTCGATGGCAACAATGCAGCAGCAGCACCAGCAGCAGCAGCAGCAGCGAGCAAGACGCTTGAGCAACAGATTGGTGAAATGCTCGTTTCGCCTCTGCGTGGCAACGTCATGTTTGCCAGCTCGCGATATGGCGTGCTCTTCACTGTCCAGTCCTTTGCAGATTTGTACGCAAAGTTGCATGGTCAGGGCTTTGATGCCAAGGAGCTGGCCAAGCGACTCTGGGGCAACTCGTTCTACGACCCTGCCACGCGTTCCTTCCACGCCAAATCCCAAAACTCGACCATGCAACGCTCCTTTGTTGCTTTCGTTATGGATCCATTGTACAAATTGTTTGCACAGGTGGTTGGTGACACTGAGACCACCCTTCCTGTCGTCTTGCAGGAGCTTGGTGTGCGTGTTTCCAACACCGAGCTCCGCATGAACGTGCGCCCCTTGCTCAAGATTGCGTGCAGTCGGTTGTTTGGCAAGGCAAGCTGCTTGGTCGACATGTGCATTGCACACATTCCTTCGCCCATCCAGGCTGCCCGCGCTCGCATCCCTCTCATTTACTCTGGCCCGCTCGGCATTGACGAAGACGAAGAGGACGACGGTCATGCTCGCTCCTTTAAGAGTGCATCGTCGCGTGCCCGCGCTGGTGCCAACCACAAGTTTAGCAACGCTGAGCTGGTGCAATCGTTGCTCTCGTGCGACCCCGAGGGCCCGCTCATGATCCAGATCACCAAGCTCATTCTCTCTGAAGACTCGACCACCTTTGACGCGCTCGGTCGTGTATTTAGCGGCACTATCTCTACTGGCCAATCTGTCGAGGTGCTCGGCGATTCGTACTCGCTCGAAGACCCCGAAGACAGCAAAAAGGCCACCGTCAACGGGCTCTTTATCAGCGAAGCACGGTACCGTGTGCCCGTCCAATCTGCGTCCGCCGGCTCCATCGTATTGATCCAAGGCATCGATGCCAGCATTGCCAAGACCGCCACCATCACTGGCCTCAACAACCCACGCGCTCGCATCTTCCGATCGTTGCGGTTTGGCGCCCCGTCCGTGGTGAAGGTCGCCATCGAGCCCGTCAACCCTTCTGAGCTTCCCAAGATGATTGAAGGTCTTCGCAAGGCCAGCAAGAGCTACCCGCAGCTGATTACCCGTGCCGAGGAAAGCGGAGAGCACGTCGTCATTGGTACCGGCGAGCTGTACATGGACTGTGCCCTCCATGACGTCCGCAAGGTGTTTTCCGAGGTTGATTTGAAGGTATGTATGGGAGGTGGTTTTTTTTGGTCGAGGTGTGTCGAGGTGTGTCGAGGTGTGTCGAGGTGTATCGAGGTGTATCGAGGTGTTTGAGGTGTATCGAGGTGTTTGAGGTGTATTGAGGTCTTTGAGGCGGAATGGTCATCCTGACCCGGTCGTCTGCCCCCCTCTTGTCACGCGCTCAGGTTTCCGATCCCGTCGTCAGCTTTGCCGAGACAGTCGTAGAGACATCTTCGATCAAGTGTGTTGCTGAAACCCCCAACAAGAAGAACAAGCTCACAATGATTGCCGAGCCCTTGGATAAGGGCCTTGCCGAGGACATTGAGAGCGAAGTCGTGTCACTGTCAATGACCAAGAAACAGGTTGGCGACTATTTGCAGCACAAGTACAGCTGGGATATTCTAGCAGCTCGTTCCGTCTGGGCCTTTGGTCCCGACCAAAACGGGCCGAACGTTTTGCTGGATGATACGGTGAGACTTTTTTTTTTTCTTTTGTCCCCCATTGGTCGAGTCATCTGGACTCTCATTGTCATTGTTAATTCATGCCCCCACTGACGGTACTGCTCTTTTGCTTCACTGTTTTTTTTGACTCACTTGCTTTACGAGTAGCTGCCGTCTGAGGTCGACAAAAAGCTGCTGGGCACCATTCGTGACTCGGTTGTTCAAGGTTTCCAATGGGGCGCCCGCGAGGGCCCGCTCTGTGACGAACCCATCCGCGGTGTAAAGTTCCGCGTGCTGGATGCGACCATTGCTCACGACGCGCCTTCTCGAGGTGGTGGCTTTGTCATCCCGACTGCACGCCGCGTCACCTACTCGTCTTTCCTTCTCGCCACTCCTCGTCTCCTTGAGCCTCACTTCCTGGTCGAGATTCAAGCACCGGCCGACTGCGTCTCTGCCATCTACACTGTTCTCGCTCGTCGAAGGTGAGAGCGCGGAGCAGTGGTTTTTTTTCTTTGCTTTTGGTGGCTTTTGGCGGCTTGGTTGTCTTGGTTTCGTTTCCTTTGGGACCTCTTTCTGCTTGTTGTCTTGTTTTTTGGCTCACTTTTATGGAATTCAACCCTGTCAGAGGCCATCTCACGTCCGAGACACCCAAGGCTGGCTCCCCGCTGTACACGCTCAAGGGCTACTTGCCTGTGATGGACTCGTTTGGTTTTGAGACCGATCTGCGCATCCACACCCAAGGCCAGGCCTTCTGCATGACTACGTTTGACCACTGGCAGGTAAGTCGAATGCAACTTGTCGCTAACACATCTCGAGTCCTTGTTGGTTGTTGGGAGTTCTCAACTCAACGACCCTCCCCCCCTTTATTCTTGGTTTGTAGGTCGTTCCTGGCGATCCGCTGGACAAGAGCATTTATCTTAAGCCACTCGAACCACAGCCCGCTGCTCATCTCGCGCGTGAATACATGGTCAAGACACGCAGGCGCAAGGTGTGTTTGTTTTCTGTTGGGTTCCTTGGATTGGCTTGGGTTCTCGTCTGTACTGACTTTGTGGTTTGTGTTTATTATTGCCTTGTCCACCCCCCCCCCATAGGGTCTGAGTGATGATGTTAGCATTACCAAGTATTTCGACGATCCGCTGTTGCTCGAGCTTGCGCGGCAAGATTTGGGTCTGAATTTGCCGTTCTAAGCGATCGATTCTTCGTTTTTCCATGTGTGCCCGATGTAGTTGGCAATTCTATCCGCGTTTTAGGATTTGTTTTGCTTCTCGCTTTCACCTGCAACATTGCATCCATTTTCGTCATGATGGTTTTCGAGCTGAACCTGTCAGAAACTGAACTACGGGGTTTTTTTTTTAACTAGAATTACACGATGAGCGCACGAGTTACATCACAAAGGAAGAAAAATAACCAGTTGCGCGTGTTAACTAAGTGAGGGTTGGGGAGGCTGTGGTACGCCGGGAATGTTGGTGGGTGGGTTTTGCGATTTTGAAGCGGGGAACTTGCCGAGTCACGCATCGCAGCAAAAAAAAAAAAAAAAAAAACAATCGTTCGTTGCAAAGGATCGAGGTCTCGCTCTACGAGGAAGGCATACACAGCATCACTGGTTGTAGAAATGCCCCCCTCGCTGAGTGATTCCAGAGCGATCGCTGAGCACACACTCGACGTTTGCAGCAGATGGTGGATGCTGGTAAGGCGCCGCAGTCGGTTTGTTCCGCGTATTGTCTCGTGTTATGGGTTTGAGTGAAGCGCTTGTCGTCGTCGTCGTCGTCGTGGTGGTGGTGGTGGTGGTGGTGGTGGTGGTGGTGATTGTTCGATACGAAGACGACTTTGAGGCAATAGCGTCCAAACAAACGCAGAAGGCTCACGAGATGAGGCACGAGCTCGGCTGCTCTGATGCTACCAGTTTGCCAATAATGTACTTTTTCCACAGCTTTTGGGAATGGCCGTCGTGAAAGTCGAAATCGACGGTTGCATCTTGGCCGGCGTGGCGCAGAATGGCGTTCGCGCCAGCCGGGTGGAACTGTTGGATTCAAAAGCAACATGCAGCGAGTGAGTGCGAGGTATGAATAACAAACCAATGCCTGGGAGTCATTCACAGCTCAATACGCAATGGTTCCAGTGTACTGAGTCAATAGGGCAAGAGCGACAAAGCGTAACAGACCTTCAAGAAATCGGTCACGTCGTAGACCACACCTCGGACAACAAGCCAACACGACTCGCGCGAGTTGTGCTGTGCGACTTGATCTCGGGTATACCTGCCATCTGGAGTGCGCCCCCAGATTTCGATCGGAGCCAGCGGTTGCAGAGGCGGATTGTTGGCCGATGAGGTCGCAGGCGTGCTTGGTGCGTGATGACTTGTCGCCAGAAGAGTCTGCGATAATGGCTGTGACAATGCTCCCACATCACGGCTCGCTCCACCGGTGGTGGCTGCGGCTGCAGCTGCGGCTGCGAGAGGCGGCGAACTTGGCGGCGGGGACGGCGTTTGGGTCGCGACGCTGACCGACCGCCGCGGCGGATGAGCGTGCTGGCTCGCCCTCCTCACCAGAGCACCAGCATCAGCAGCATCATCTGTAGTAGTAGTAACAGTGGTTGTAGCACTGGCAGTCGTCGTCCAGTTGAATGCAGTCCCATTGACTGGAGCTGCTGCTGGGCTCGTGCCCGTCCTGCCTCGACCACCACTCTGCGCAGCCGGGGCTCCTCCTGGCGTCAATGCGAGTGCTGGCGGCTGGTAGCTCAGATCGCTTCTGCTCCGTGCGACGCGTGGACTCGGATCGAGCGAGAGTGTCGACGCAGCAGCAGCAGCAGACGGTCGTCGCTCGCCAGCCGCTGCAGAGTGACCTGCGCTGGGACTGGACGACGCTGCACTGACGCTGATGCCGCTGCTGCTGCTGCTGCTGATGCTGGCGGATGAGCCGCTGCGTGGTGGGTGGTGCGCGCTGAACGAGAGCGGATGCGGCGACGGCTCACCTGCACCAGCACCACTCACAAGGACGCCCGCACCACCCGTCTCGACAGCAAGAAGATGCAGCGAGCGTGCTGGTGGTGGATGGGATGGCGAGGACGACGACGACGGGAGAAGGAGCACGTCGTCGCCCATCGCGCTATTGTGCAAAGAGAGAGAGAGAGAGAGAGAGAGTGTGTGTGTGTGTGTGTGTGCGTCTGAGAATAGAGATAAATAAATAAACAATGACTGAGAAATGTGAAAACAAGAATAGAAACAAACCACAAAAAAAAAAAAAAAAAGTGAGCATTGCAGTGAAATGATCGGAAACATGAGCGTGTCAACGGTTTGTGCTGTACTGGCCTTGGAGCCCTTGGAAGGAAGATCAGGCGACACGGAGCATGCAGTGTGCAGGGCGAATGGACATGTAGCTCGGAACATTGCGCTGGAATGGGTTGGCTAATGGCAAACTACGTTTCATTGAACAATTGTATTTGGATTGGGGAAGAAGTACAAGCTGCCATGTCGCGGCATCCAAATCACAAAAGCCGCCAACGCGCATGACAAAGAGGAAGGGGGGGGCATTCTTGGTTTAGAATGGCCGCGGTGCAGACGAGCAGGGAGAGGGACCTTGCGGGGCGGGCGATGGCGTCGCGTTCTTGTCGCCATTCTTGCACTTGACTGGCGGGTTTGTGTCAAGTTGCGTGGTGTCTCGAATGCGAAGTTCTAGCAAACACACACACATACACAATGGGGGGGGGCAGATTGTCAGCGAGGCGATTCAACCTCATCAGAGGACTGTAGCGAAAAACGCATGCCTCGCGTAACCCACACATTGAATCAACACCCAGCGGCAGCAGCAGCAGCAGCAGCAAAACAATACACAGCATCAACAGTAGTTTGGAAGGCACAACGTTACCGAATGTCTGATCCTTTTGCTCGCGCTTGGCACCTTGCACAACATACTTGTCCAGAAACAGCGCCGTGTCGGTCGCCATTTTGATGCTCTGCCCGGAAATAACAGACCGCCATCGAGTGAGCGACAAGCAGTGTGATTCTGGAGCTGCTTCTTCGACCTCTTCATTGCTCAGAGTTTCTCAGTTTCTCAGTTTCTCAGCTCTTTTTCCCTTCCCGTCCCCGTTTCTTTCGCGAGCTCTTTTTTTTATTTTGCTTATATATTCTACCCCTCTCTCCTATTCTGACTGCGAACTTACAGCAGTGATGGCTGCCGGGTCGACTTCGTTTTTGCGACTGGCAAACTCGCTCCGGATGCGCTTCTTGGCCTCTACCAACACGACAAAACCCGCCAGAGTCACGTTAGCCAAGGCATGTCGTCTTCAATGATGGAGGAGGGGGGGGGGTCGTGGCTGTGGTTCGTCTTGTCAAAGCATGTGTGCTGAGCTCCGACGCCAGTCCAGTCCCCAAGTCCCCCAAGTCCCCAAGCCAAAGCCAAAGCCCCGAGGACAAGATACGCACCAGTCAATGCAACTTTGTCGCCGGTGAAGCAGCGCTCGGACGCGCGGACGACTGTTCGGAAGGCACCCAATGCTGCTGCTCGCTGAGCCATGATTGAATGGTAAGGCAAACTGGGACTGGTACCTTGAATAAAATCCAATGTAGAGTAGATCTAACATTGTGTGGTGGATTGAATCGGGGGAGGGGTTTGTTGGAGTGGATGTTGCATTAAATACAATGGAGCGCAACAGAAACTGGGGACAACACCCACTTCACTGAAACTGAACCAAACTGATACATGTATCCTGAGAATGCTTTCTCGCGGTTCTGCTCCAAAGAAGAGACAAATCCCAATGGAAGCATCATGGCGAGAAGAGCGCATCCCTGGCTGAAAAAAGAAACAAAAAACCATGAAACCGTCAGGCACAAGCAGGGCGAAAAACTCAAAAGCGAAAGAAACAAACAGGAAGCGAACAGGAAGCGAACAGAGACGCCGGGTGCTGAACAGCATCACAGCAGAGTCTCATGATGAGGGGCAGCATTCAACTCCCCTGAGGTATGAGCATCGAGAAGCTGAAAACAATGCTTGCTTTGCGCATCTCCCACAGGAGCAAAAAAAGTCTCATGTTTTGTTCAATTCTCGAGCGCCCCGGCCGCGCGCAGGACTTGGGCAATCTCGGCGGCATGCCTGCGTGAGAGTGCGATGGCGAGGGGCGTTCTGCCTTCCTTGTCCTTCTCGTTGAGCTTTGCGCCCGCTGCGATGAGCACCTTGACCGACTCGAGCTGCTCCTGCTCGACGGCGCCGTGCAGCGGAGTGCACTTTGGCGGGACTTCGAGGTCTTCTGCGCACTCTGCCTTGAACTCTGGGGCATCGACGTTCGCGCCGCGCTGGATGAGGTAGGCCATGATCTCGGTGCGCCCGTACTCTGCGGCGACAAAGAGCGGCCCGACCGTGTCCGGGTTGTCCTCGGGCCGCTGGAGTGGCGCGTTGCCCTTCTCAATCATGCACTTGACGACCTTGAGGTTGCTGGCGACGAGGTCTGGCCGCCCGTCGTCAAAGCGCTGGATCATTGTCAGCAGCGGCGTGTCGCCATAGTCGTCCATTGCAACACAATCTGCGCCGTTCTCGACGAGCACTTCGATGGCATCGACGTCGAGATACGTGTCGCACTTGCACAGCCGCATGAGCGGTGTCTTGCCCCGCGCGGCGTTGATCCAGCCAGTCCCCTCGGCGGCAATCCGCTCGCGGAACTTGGTTGCTTCCGACAGCGATTCCGAGGACCAGAAGCTCATTTTGGTGTCAAAATGACGAGTGAGTGGCCAAACTTGAACTTGGGCGAGAGATGAAGACTTCCTAAAATGTACCCCCAGAGATCTACAATGCCAGATTCAGCCTAGAAACAAATCCGTGCTTTTGGCAGCAATGCTTGGATTTCATGTTGAAGTTGAATCAGTATCGGCATGTCATGTCGGTCGAGCAGCAAGCACACAAATGCAGCTCATGCAATTCAATTCAATGGGTGCTCCCTCACTCAAACTCAATCTCTCAGATTCACTCTCAATCCACTGTAGCCTCAACTCCTTTTCATTTTTTTATTTTATTTTCAGTCTTTGTTCTTCTTCTTATTCTTCATACACATACACACACACAATGCCAGAGTGGCAGAAGACCGCCGAGTGGCCGCTGGCCTCGTTTTCCACGATGGTTGCTCTGATGGGCGGCTATGTCGTTGTGATCAAAGGACTCCAGGTACGACTCTCTCCCTCCCGCATCATCCAATCTCTTTCCCCCTTCCTTCCTTTCATACAATCTCCCCCCTCCCTCCCCCCATACAATGTCCTTTCCATACAGAATATCAACTGTCAACATTTTGTCTCGTGGTTTTTGTATTATTTTTTTTTATTTTTTATTTTTATTTTTTTTATTTTTTATTTTTGCCGCTCTTTTTGTTCCGTTTCACTTTTGCTTTTCATCCTCCTTCCCTTCGTTCCCCTCTCTTCTCTTCCCTTCCCCTTCTCTCTCTCTCTCCTTCCCTTCCCTTCCCTTCCCTTCCCTTCGCTTTCTCTTCCTTTCAATCATGCTCGCTTTTCATCACGTTGGACGCACATGCCAAAAAATTCCGTAATCGGCTGATTTTTTGCTTTTTTTTTGCCCCAACAAAAAAAAAAAAAAAAAAAAAAAATCAAAAAAAAAATCGTAAAATCATACAAAAATACATTCAACAGTTATCCAATGTTGGACGACAGAAAAGGCAGATTCATGCAATGTGATGTGTCGCTGTTCGGCATCATTTCACAAGTGAATGTTGCATTCGAGAGAGAGAGAGAGAAAGAGAAAGAAAGAGAGTCCAACGGGAAATGGATAGCAAAAGCCGGCCATTTTGAGCATCCGTCCACATGTGTCTGTCTGTCTCTGCGTTTGATGATTCATGTGCGTTGGGTCATTCAGCACTTCTGCCCCCACCACTGCTCATTGCGAAGCAGATTGAAATCGCATGTACATTCAAACGGGAGCGAACGAGCGAACGAGCAGCATTGGAGTCAGATTGAAAGCATTGAGCTTTTATTTACCACGCAATGCGCTCTCACTGTGAATGGAAGGGGGTGAACGTGATTTGGTGATTTTGGGATTGGACAAGACATGGCTTGAAGGCGTCTCACTCGAACTCGCTGTAATCATTTTGGGGGTGTGTGTTGGGGGAGAGAGAGAGAGAGAGAGAGAGAGAGAGGAAACGAGGCGGATCAATAAACTCACACTGTTGCTCACTTGTGTAGGCGTTCATGAAAAACCGCGAGGCACTCCGCTGCACAATGGCGGGCCACGTCCACAACGTCATCATGACCGCGCTGTCTGCCTACGTCTTCTTTGGCATGGGCTACGACGTCATCCAGAACTGGAAGGAGAACAACGTGAGTACCCTTGTTTGTTGAATCTTTGGCCTTGTTGTTTCACTCACTCACTCACTCAACATGCAACAGTTCGATCCCTCGCTCGCTGTCTGCGACCCCGAGCTCAAGCTCAGCAAGAACGCCGACTACTGGTTCTGGATTTTCTACGTGTCCAAGGTGAGTTTTGGACCTCTTTACTCTTTGGTGTTGTGTTCTTGAACTGGAACACAAACACTCATCCTTCCCCCTCAACAACTAGTTCTACGAGTACATTGACACCATTCTCCTCGTCCTGCGCAAGAAGCCTGTATGTATTTTCATCACTTTTTTTTTTTTTTTTTTTTTTTTTATTTTGTTGTTGTTGTTTTTTGGGATTTGTTCTCGCATTTCCGTGTCTGACACCTTCCTTTTTTTTTTCTCTTGGTCCTGCACAGGTCATCTTCCTCCACGCCTACCACCACTTTATCACCGCTTCCATCGTCTGGGCTGCTTGGATTTTCCCCGGTGCCTCCAACTGGGTTGGCCCCATCACCAACGCGTTCGTCCACATCTGGATGTACGCTTACTACATGGCTGCCGATTTCGGTCTTAGCCGCAAGGTAACGCGAGCTAGAATAACGAGTTTTTGCCAATCTTGAAAGTGCAAGTTCCTGACGCCCGTTTGTGTATTTTGTTTGTATTGTCGCTTTTCATCCATCCTCCAGTGGGGTGCCTACATTACCAAGATCCAGCTCACCCAGTTCATGGGCTGCATTGCTCTGTGGGCCTGCGTTGGTCTCGCCATGATTCCCGACAACTCGTGCAAGACCCCCGCCGAATCCTTCTCATGGCTCTGCCTCCAGTACGTCATCTTCTTGTACCTCTTCCGCCGCTTTGACAGCAAGCGCAACGGCAAGAAGCCTGCTGCCGCGACCGCCACCAAGTCCGTCGCTGCCTCGGCCGCCGGCAACGAAGTCGAGGACAAGAAGCGCGAATAACAAAAGAGACGCCGCTGCTTTGCGCCACGCCACGCTACTGTTACTCAATTTTGTTGTTTGAACGTTATCATTTGTTGATCCGAGCAACGAAGGCCTGTTGGTGATGAAGGTTGCCCGCGCGCTTCTCTTGCTCTTTGTATTCCTGAGTATTGTTGATGTTGAGATTTTATCCAAGCCAGAATGTTTGAATTCACAGCGGGAATTTTTTTTGGTTTTTTTTTTTTTTTTTTTTTTTTGGGATTGGCATCCACCCTTCACACCTCTGTACCTCTGTAGGTCCTCTGAAACGACCGAGAAATTCGTTGACATCAATACTTTTTTTTAATGC